GACGATACCAATGGTGAAAGTCCTTTGGAGACACCACGGAGTCGAGGAGGCTACTTGGGAGCTCGAACAGGAGGTTCGCTCTAAGTATCCAGAGTTGTTTTCTCTCTCAGGTATGGCTTGATTTCGGGGGCGAAATCTTTTTTAAAGTTAGGGAGAATGTAATGTTTTTGACTTTATATATATATATGTTAAAGTTAAATAAAATTTTATTCACCTGTGGGGCCCACATGATTTATAAGCCAATATAATGACTTATTTCTGCTCCTCTGCGTATCAGTTTCTCTCTCATTCCAGAAGCTCTCTGGGCTTTTTTTTTTTTTTTTTTTTTCTTTTTATGGTTTCAAGCTTCAAGGCTTAATTTCTCTCTCATCTCTTATCGGATTAAGGTGCCGTTTGAGGCAATACGAAGCCCACGACGAGCTCTACGTATCCATACGAACAATTCCAGATTTGGTGCCCTTCTTGGAGTTCGAAATTCAAGACCCATTTTAAGGGTTTTGTGCAAATTTGAGGTAGGGACACCTTAATCCACTACCTTCTTGTTCCATTGTGAGTTATAATCACTTGTTATGCCAAGCATGCTTAATTAGAAGTTAATTGTATCAATGATTATTTTAAATGTTGTCTAGAGAAATTCATGTATTTGAATGTGGGTTGTTTTATGTGTAAAGCATGCTTAAATGTATTTTGTTATATCTTAATGTGTTAATAATTACTTGGGAGATGTTGAACATGTTGAATGTTTAATTTTATGGTGTAGAATTTTAAATGCCATGACATTGAATGTATGGAACATATATTCATGCACATACCATTGGGTTTGCATGAAATGGGAGAAATTGTTCTTGAAATAAATATGGGGAATTTCAGGGAAGTGTTTTTGATGAAATGGTTTTATGCGAAACCCGGTCGCTGCGGGGTTACCAACGGGTCGGAGGTTAATATAGCCTAGAGGGGATTAGGGAGTCGCCTTAGCATGGTTGAGCTAGCTCGGCCCGATAATGACGCCGCGGGGTTACCAAGGGTCAGGGACACTAGCCAATCCTCCTCTCGTGTCGCGGCGGGGCTACTAAAGGGCGGGCTGTATTAACAGTTTGGAAATGATGTTTTGGATTATGAAAATGGGAAGCGACACTAGCATGCATTGCATCTCATACTATTGCATTGGATATACTTGACATTGAATCATTATGCTGTATTATTTCCCTTCATTGTATGATCCCCATTTCCCATTGGCCTATGCTTTGTTTGGATTCACAAGGACATAAGATGTATGTCTTAAGTGTCACCTGCTGAGCTTTATGCTCACCCTACTATTTATATTATTTTTTTCAGGTCTTGGAAACGAACTAGTGGACGACAATCCACCTCAAGCTTGAAAATTGTTAGAAGGTTGTTTGCTATTTTGTATTTTGACCGTTCTATGTATATTCGTAGTTGTGGAAATGTAACTAAGTTAGTATTCATGGCCTTGTAACTTAAGAACGAACTTATCTTTTGTTTGATGTAAATGAAACTAGTGGAATTATGATATATGTTTCCATGCAATTGTATCATGTAACGTTGTAAGACAGGGACTTTAAATATTAATCTTGTATTTTGGGACTGTAATTATGATAATTTAGATTAATTGGTGTGTGGATGTTCCACCATGAAAGGAACTATGTTAAGGTATAATGAACGGATGAATGGGATGCTAGATGATTTTATGTGTTTTGTGTATTGGGACAGGTTGTTGAAGGCCCATTTTTAGGGGAGGTTATGCCGAATTTTTTTTAAATTTTGGCATCAGTTAGGGTCGTTACAGGAGGTATTAAACTATGGACAATACTTAGTTACTCACCAGTGAGTAGGGTGAAGCTACTCACCCCTATGTGGTCCAATAACAAACTAACACATCACCTTTAATAATAAAATAATTTACACTTTTTTCTTCTTTCTCGGATCAATCATTGAATAAATCGTATATAGTGTTTTTAAGTGTGAATTATTTTATTTTTAAATATGATGTGTTGTTTTATTATTAGACCATATAAGAGGTGAGTAACTTCACCCTACTCACCAGTGAGTACTTAAGCATTATCCATAAACTATTAATCATTTTGGCATGGTTGGACATTATAGTATTTTGTAAAAGATGGAAGGACAATGTAGTCTTCTTGCATGGTCCTATCTTTGACCTTCTTGGAGCTTGACACATAGATGTATTTTTGATAGTACAATAGGTGTATGTGGCATGTTACTATATTGCATTTTGAAGGACTTCGTAAAGGAGGGTCTGCAGAAATTTTGGTCCCTTGTTTTCTTCTTGATAGTCATTTCAATTTGGTCCATTTTTGGGGTTCTTTTAATGGAAATTTGAGGTGGTCATGTGAACTAAAAATGACCTAGGAAGGGATGGCTTTCCATTGATGTGATTCTTGAAGCTATTCACTCATAACATAATTTCTGGTATTGTCTTAAAGGAAGGGGTTAGTGTGCTGCAAGAAGAAGTTTTGTTCTTCATCTTCTTCCTTTTGGGTTGGTGATTTTGATCCATTCCTTTGGTGATTTTAAAGTGTTGGTGGCAAGGGTTTAAGCTCCTTTTGAGGTAGGATTTTCCTAAACCTCACGTTCACATTTGGTGAATTATATCTCTTTAATTGAGCGTTACTTGCTTGAAAAACTGAACTGAAATTTTTGCGCATTCTGAAAATTTTTGACTGCAACTACATGCTGATGTTCTGCCCAAATCTTGTAAATTCGAAATTTATCTTTTAGAGATGAATTAATATTATGGTAATATAGTTATTTATCTTTCATTGAGACTTGGTTTCACATAATTTGGTTTAAAAATTAATTTACTATGAATTTATGAAGTTGGAGTCATCTCGCTGGAAGATCTGTTTTGGAGGCAGAATTTCTCCGATTTTTCTCATAAAAACTGCTTTAAATGGTGAGGTATTTTGGTAAAGTAAATTTATATTTTCAAACTATGGTCTTTAAACTTTCAATTGCCTTTGGATTCATTCAATGTAGATGAGAATTGAATTTTCCATGATTTTTCAAGGTTGGAAGCTACAGGCTGAAAATCTATTTTCTGGGCAGAATTGGATTCAAAATGTTGTGTCAAAACTGTTTCAATTGGGAAATGATTTTGTTAAACTAAATTGATATTTTCAAATTATAGTGTTTAAGCTTTCATTAGGCTTTGGAATCATTCAATTTGATAAAGAACTTAAATTTTTATGAATTTTCAAAGTTGAAGGTAACAAGCTGAAAAATCTGTTTTGCGGACGAAAAATTTGACGCGATTTCATTTCGGTGGTAATTGGGATTTTCATTCTAATTGAGGTAGCGGTTGTTCTAAGGTTCACAACCTTTGTTTCTTGTGAATTTAGTCCTCCTTAATCGTTTATCGTACCATGTTTATACTTGGAGTTTCTTTTTTGAATGTTAGATTTTAAATGTGATAACATGCTTGATGTGTTCTATGTGTTGAAGTGCACTTTACATGCTGTTTTGAATAATGGTTTAATTACTATGTTTTATTTAAGTTGTAATGAAATGTGGAATGTGACAATACTATGGTTTACATTATCATATGGTCATCTTGCATGGCATTGGATGACATTGGGATAAAAAGGAGGAGTTTTGAAATGAAATCAAAATGATTTTGGGATGGTTTTGAAATAATGATTTCGAAAACCGGATGACAGGGCTTATTCTGTGTCCGTGTCGTTAATGATACCTAGAGGGGACGTAGGGAAACATCCTATGCATGGTTGAGTCACTAGTTCCCAAATGATGCTAGGGCTTACTCTGGGTCAAAGATAGATGACCAGTCCTCTCCTTGTGGTGCCGGGGCTTACTTCGGGCCGGGTACATTAACGGTTTGACGTTTGAGGCGTTGGATGGAATTTTGTAAAATGGGGAATGGCATTGGCATTGGCATTGCATTTCATTTCATTCCATTTTATTACTTGATGTTATCTTTCCGAACGAGTATTAGCCCTTTACCTTATTACTATTTTTTGTTTGGATTCACGAAGGTATTAAGGAGTGCGTTTTAGGCAACTCCTACTAAGCTGTTGTGCTTATTTCTATTGTATATACATTTTTTTTAGGTCACGGAAAGAAAGTAATTGAGGACGTTCCTCCGCAGATGTAGATGGACTTTGTGTTACCTTTTGTAGTCTTTATTTGTATAAATGACAATGTACATCTGTGGGACAAGTATGTGTATTATGGACTATTTTGCAGCCATGTTTATTAAAACTTGTACTAGAAGACTATGAGACCTTAAGTTTGTAACTTCTTTCACTACCTATTTAATTTCATGTAATGGTTAGCCAAGGGATGGCATACGTTGAATTGTGTGTTGGAACAGGATGGCAAGGTTTGGAAAGGTCCTAGAACCCAAGGGGTTCAATTGAGACGAAGCCAGGGTCACTACAAACCCATTTCTATTTAGGTAGATAGCCAGAGCGATTAGAGATCCCTAAGCTCGAGGCTTTCTTGTCCCATTGTATGTTCACAACCCGGACCCATTGTATGTTCACAACCCGGACTCCAGTTTTGGGGCGTGACTTTTTTTTACATAAGATTCTTATAGATTGGTTCATGATTGAGTATTTTTTTCTTTTGAAAAAACGAAGAAATAATAATTTAGCTTGACGCCTGACTTTTCATCCGGTGCGCGATATTATTCAATAATCTACTGCATACTGAATTGTGACCTAACTCCCTGTCAGTTGTTGCGTACATGTATTACTCTCTAGACCTAGTCATGCAGATTAGTTGGTAGATAATAACGTTTGGGTTTTCAACTAAGTTTTATTATTTCCAGTGCTGTTGAAGATTGTCCTTGGAGGCTCTCTATTTGAAAATTTGACATTTGTGTAAAGGTTTTTCTTTCCGAAATTTTAGAAACAAATCATATAATTCCGTGACAATCCGAGTCAGTAGATGTTGTAAAGAGAATTCTTTCATGCATTTATAACACATATTAGAAACAAATGTAGAAACTAATCAAACTTAAAATTCAATATAAAGTTGCTTTATGTTATTCCAAACCCTTCAAATAGCAAGAAGAAGTATGGCAAAGACAATATCATTCACCAACGATTATGATATATTTCCCCCAACTCAGATACTTGCAGATTTTTTCTAAAATCAGAAGATGGATGCATGCATCTGATCATAGTAGGAGCCAGAAGGACCATTAGCAGGCAACAAAGCCAGCATTACAGGTGCTCTAGCACCTTCCTCCGGAGTCAAGTTTCCCATGTACAATGTAATCTCTGTTTTGACATATCCAGGATGAACGCAATTTATGCGGAAATCGGGAAATTTCCTCGCTATAAGTCTCGTATAGGCGTTTATGGCAGCTTTGGAAACTTTATAAGCAGACACTGTAAGGGGCCACCCATTAGCCTCCAATTTATTCTCCTTGAAATCCATTAGAAACCACCGCAACACCTCATCTATTTTTTCTTCTGTTAAGCTGTCGACATTTTGCAGCTCTTCTTTGACCTTCTCGTTGTTGATATACTGAAACAAAACAAAACAAAAAATATAAAAGAGAAAAGAATTAGAGGTCATTGTCTTTTTCTGTTCTATCACCGGACATGATAATCATGCATGAAACTGGTGTGTCAGCTTACACTTAGTTGTCCGAAAAGAGAGGAAACGTTCACTATTCTTGCTGAATTGGAGAGTTGCAGGAGAGGAAGAAGTGCTTCAGTTACTCCTTTGGTTCCATAATAATTTGTCTTGAGACACTCTTCGGCCTTCTCATAAGTTCGCTTTATGACTTTCTCTCCATTCTCATCGGTGACCTGCATATGTCAGAAAGTCTCATTCCTGCTACTCAATCAAATATTTGATCATATTGTTCTGAAAAGACTAATGCAGTTAGAGTTTAAACATTTCCTGGATTTACTGAACCTAAAAACCACCTGTGTTAAATATTCTTTCTATGTTAATAATTACTGGAAGAGATTTAAATTAAATCATTTAATAGAAATTATTTGATAAAAAATCTAAAAGGGAAGAGATTTAATACTTACCATCTCCGCATCAATAATTCCTGCATTATTGACCTGTAAAGAAGTTTATTCCACAGAATAGCCATTAGCTTTATCTTGATAACCTGATATTCCTCAACACATGAGAAAGTGCTGTTATTCATCTCTTTTTCATTTCTTTGTATGCTATCAAATTGAATAGACGGAATACATCATGCTAAGCCATTGTCTATGTATATTGATATAAATTTATTTTCTTGATATAATAGCAATATCCAAGTCCTTAATTCATAAGGCATATCTTGATTCTCACCAGGATATCAAGTTTTTTGAAATGTGTTTGTACATATTTTGCAAATGAAGCAATACTTGCAGGATCTTTTACGTCAAGTTGATGAAAAAACACATCTGAGAGGCCAGAAACTTTGAGATTGTCAATCGCTTCGATACCCTTCTTCTCATCTCTGGCTGTTAATATTACTGCAATTCCATTAGATGCTAGCTGGCGACATATCTCGAGTCCAATGCCTTTGTTGCCTCCTGTAACCACAGCTAACCTGGAATAACAGTGATCCACTAGAGATTATGCATACATATATATAATTATAAAATGAGAGTCACGAGTTGAAGATACCTTTTTCCTGTTGAACTGCTGCTGGTCTCTTCCATTCCTGTTGAAATACTAGAGGTGTGAGTTGATACTGAATGATGTTCACTTTGTGATAATCTGCCTTAATCTAAGCAACATTGAAGCTGTCATGAGTTGATCAGTTTTTCCATTCTTCCCAAGGTGGTTTGGGCTTTTCTCTTTATTTGATAATGGGGTCAATTATTTAATTGCCACCCTCATGAGTCATGTCCTAAGGTGGTTTTGCCTTTTATTTCTTCTTAAATTTGATTATTTTTTTATCACTTTTTCTTTTTTCTATTCTCATATCTTCACTTAATCGTAACAGATATTTCTCTATTATATAAAAAATTATAGCTTTATCTCAACGAGCTGAGTTTGTCCAACTTGGGATTAAGCATCACCCATGTTATACTATAGCACCTATCTGTAAATCTTATTTTTGCACTCCATGTGATTGCCAAAAGATTTGGGAATAGAAAAGAAATTTTTAATAGGTTCATATATTTAAATTGCAGTGTGTAAGTAATTTATTTACAGATCAGAATCAATAATTTTTTTTTTTGGGTGTAGAAATTCAACTCATTTATGATACTACAACTTGAGCTTTCATCCAGTCAGCTCCAACAATAACTGCAAACGCTTCAAAAATTCAAAACGCTACAAAAATTCAGAAGTGCTAGAATTGTGATTCTTGCAAGTAAACATCAACGGACGGAAGACAAGTAGTGCTTAGATACGAATCAGAAAGAAAGAAGGGGATGAGAATGAGAAAATGAGATGGGACTAGATAAAGGAGGTGAGAAGATGGATGAAGGGATGAGAAGTAAATTGAATGAGGAAGATTAGAGACTGAGGGATTGCAAAAAGCAAGAACGAAGAGCGAGAAAACAGAGGAAGAGAGTTCGCAAACTCACAATATTATTAAATAATCTAAAGCTGAATTGTTAGATTACATATGAGCAAACTTAAACAAATCTTAAAATATTAAAATACTAAAATATCCCTAAAAATAGAACATTACCAAAAATAACAAAACCTACAAAAAAAAAAAAAAAAATCTAGTTACATCAAGTCCATAATTTCACCTTGCATACAAATTATAAAGTAACCTCTAATAAATTGCAAATTATAACGTAACCTCTAATAAATTTATGATTCTTAACATGAGCATATGCAATAAATTCATAATTTTGTCGCATATTGGCATGAAATTCATTGACAAGCTGGACAAAGGAATCTGAAATTTTTAATGAACAAGAATGTAGAGGCAACAAAATGAAGTCAACGGGTTTGTGAAGAAACATCTAGATAGAATCCCTAAGGAACGAGTTCCAGCAGATCAGTTGACCAAACTGTTATACGCAAACTCCTTGATAGACAACAAGAAGTCCCAAGTGTCAAGGGGCTCTATTACAAAATAACTAACCAACTTTCCTAGACCAGTTTGAGCATAAAATGCAAAGGAAAATTTAAAATTGGTGCCTACAGATGTCCAAAAGTGTTTTTCAAAAATGACTTTTGTACTTAACATCCCTATTGCACATGATAGAAGTGGGTAACTTATGAAGAGCATTAATATCTGCAAGACTATCTTGATTTGACCCACTTCTTTGGCTAACACGTTTGTAATCAAAAAGGTTGAAGAGAAGTCCAATATATGTGGTGCTCTAGATTCCCTTTCTGGTGGCCTTGCTGGCTTTCCAAGGTTTAGCATTATAGTTTTACCATTGCACTTGAATGATCTTGGACTAGAGAAAATGTCGTGATAGGCCGTGGACTTGACATGATAATGGTGATGATTGTTCCTCACATCATGTCTAAGTTTTGGGGAAACGAATGTGTCACCCCTAGTGTGCGTAAATATGTGCAAACTTCTCACGGAGTTGAGTGAGTGAACCATAGCTCATGACATGCTCTATTGTTTGGGTTCTCAATTCCATTTTAAGTGGAATCTTGGACATGCCTCAAATGTCCATATCGGTCCTCATTGGGGCGATGTGGAGATGAAAATTGTTGTGAAAGAGTTGCCAATATATGACTCCAATTAGATTAAGTAAAACCAAATTATAAATTATTGCAATGATCACACAACAAATTGATGCAAGAAAGGTGGGCAATAATGGTCAGAATTTAATGTAGTTTTTTTCGAAGACAAGCAACAAAGGGGCGATGGGGTTCATATAATGGTTTCCAATTGAAGGACCCATTGCAAATTTATTGATTCAAGAAACAGATAAAAAAAATTAATCACAAATTTTCAAGAATGGTGTACCTTTGACGAATCCGATCTGAGTGTCAAAGTGAGTAGAATGTTCCCGAATTGACAATTGTGTTTGCGATAGGGGAGTTGGGTTTTGGTCAATTAATGATTTGCGCAGGTTAGGGATTGTTTGGATGGTTGAGTTTTGTTTGGTGGCAGAGACGGTGGAGGCTTTGATCGATGGTTTTGGTTTGGTATGTTCAGTTGTGCACCAACAGTGTCAGTGTGTTTGGGTTGGGGAAACAATAGATGGGTTTAATTGTTGTTGGATGAGAGTTTCGGTTGATTTTGGTTGTGATTCCTCGTGCTTTCTCGATCTTCAACGTACATATGCGACTTTTGATCAGAAGGTTGAAGAGTTTCAAGCTTGAAATGTTGAACTCTGAAGCTAGCATCATCTCCTTCTCAGGTGTCAGTCAACGTGGGGGTGTAGGCTGTACTCTCTTGGCACCATTATTTGTGGATAGTGATCTGTGGGGCTATTGCGTGGAGCATCCTTCTTTATAGTATGTTTTTTGAGTATCATGAATTTTTGGTAGACATTCAGCCACAATACTATCTTAACAAGTAGGCAGTTGAGTACTACAAGACAATAGGACCAGTGTACATATGTTTGAATGAAGTATTGTTTCTTTCTATGTATTTGTGGTGTAGGATTTTTATTTTTATTTATTGTTTTTAAAATTCAAGCAACTTTCATAGATAATAAGATAATATACAATGGATGGAAGGGCTTAGGCCACAAAAAGAAAGAGTACAAGCCCGTAGGTCACTAGGGCAAGGCCCAACTAACCCGTGGACAAGGCCACACGGAAGCAAGATGGTAACACCAACAACGACACGTTTGGCCGTTAAAAGAGGAACATCAATTCAATCCAGTAACGAAAATCAAGCAGCTATGCCTCCATAACTCAGTCCGGTGGACGTGGAGGCGGTCTGCAACTAGACGGGGAGACATTTCATTCCATGAGAATCGATTTGACGAAGAGCAATCACTAAGGATTTGTTTGGTTAGCATGAAGTAGGTAGAAAGAAAGAAAAACGAATTTTTTTTTTTTAAATTTTTGGGAATTTGGTTACCTAGATATAGAAAATTTTGGGAAAAGTGAATTCCTATTTTCCCAAAATATTTTTCCGCATAAAACACAAAAAAGTTTACTTTCTCGCTCAAAACTGTCATTCAATTTCCAAATTTACTATTATGCCCCAATTGAATTGTTTCTCTAATTTTTTTTTACAGAAATTATTAAGTTATGCCATCTATTTACTAGGACACATATTTGGATTCATCATATCTAATAGCATCGTTAACTAAATTTTTTTAAAATAAATTAAGAATTGAATAGTAGAATTATATTACTTTTAATTTTTACCAATAACTCAATAGATATATGAGAACACATGAATTAGAGTTTTCATATTATTTTTATGAGATAACGATCTCACATGGATAAAAATCAAAATAATATTTATTTTTTATTATCTATATAGTTTTGAAATTAATAGAGTTTTATACTCGAATCATATGTGATTTTTGTATAAAAAAATTTGCATGGTTCATAGTCATAAAATATGGAAGTGGACCGATAAATTATGCATGAACCAAAAAATTATTATGCATTAACTATAAAATGTTACTTTTGCATGACCATTTTTATCCTAAAGTATTGTCATTTTGTGTTTCTTCGAGGGGCTTGCAAAAAAGATATGTTTAATATTCCAATAAAAACACGAGTATGTTATAATAAATGAACTACATTCTATATATGAATATAAATAATTATTATTTAAAACACAAAATAAAAAGAATTTGATAACTAAAATTCAGTCCTCCTTAGTTTGTTCTAATTTAAATATGAATATAAATAATAATAATAATTATTAATAATCCATCATTTTACTATTTATTTGTTAAAAATTAATATAAATAATTAAGTATAAAGAAGATTCATCTAACACAAAATTAATTTATTTTTAATTATTTGAAATCATGAGGGTAGTTTTGGTAAGTAAATCATTTTTTTTTTCTCTTTCATGCCATTCAAACTAGCAAAATAATATTTTTCGACAACTTTCATAAAAAAATTTCGTGTTAACCAAATGCATGCTGAAAACTTGATTTTTCTTTCTTTTACTTCATTTCCTTTCACTTTCACTTTCACTTTCCATCATACATTTCTGTCTAACCAAATGGACCTTCAAAATTGCAGGTGGAACAGATCTTAGCACAGACGACTCTTTGTGAAGCCTTCTGTCCTCTATAAATCGGGCATTCCTCTCTTCCCAGGTATGATTCACTAGTGAAGATAAGCACAATTTCCTGTGAAGATTAGGAGTATTTGCTTTTCAATGGTTGCTGATCCACAGTACCAGAGCATCCCAATTTTTAATTGCCATATAGATGTTGCATTTGTAACTGATAAATCGCCAAAGAGGGGATACGAAGGTGCAATTGAAGAAAGGTGCTCATGTGATTCAGTTGAATTATTGCACAGAGAACATATGTTGAGGTGCTTGGCCATCGATTTACCAATAAAAAATAAACAGTGTTCATTATTATTATAATCCCGGTACAACATATTAGTTCTCTATTGATCATATTCCTGATGCAACATATTAGTAGTCTTTGCGTACGCATAGGGACATACATTTATATATATATTGCCTATGAAAAGTTCTTCTCTCCATTTTTTCATTCTTGTTTTATAGACATGCTCTTAAAAATAAAATTCAAAATGCACTAAAAAAAAATTGTTTCACAATTATTTTATCTTATTTTAAAATTGAATTTTATTTCAATACACCACTAGGGGAAAAAAATATATATTTTGGCCCCCCAACTTAATATTTCTGGCTCCGCCCCTGGCCGGAGAGATAAAGATAATGATGAGATTTCAACGAGAATATGTTCGTGGAAGTTTACCCCCAAATATAATTTCAACTCCAAAAACTAATTTGACAATGCATTACTAATTTAATACCTTAGTTGAAATGGATGTAATTGAAAGAAAACCTACCATTCAATATTTACTTATATAAAATCATTGACTATCAACTCCAAAAAAACTAGTTTGACAATGCATTAGTAATCTAATAACTAATCTGATATGGATATAATTGACACATAACCAACCATTTGATAGTACTTATATAAAATGATGGACCTACCCAAACTCACTTGAATGAGTCTTCTCCTTTGGGAATCATAATAAACAAACCAACAACTTATTTTGCATATGGTGAATTATTTTGATTTTAAGCTTAGAAAAATTAATAGAGCAAACAATATGGCTGCATCATGTAGTCATTTAAAAACTGGCCCAGAAATTTGGTACCAAAGAAGCTATGTATGAGCATGAAGTTACTTTAGCATATTATTTGTGGAAACAGAAAGGAAACGTCTTATGCCACATCCTCTAAAAAGTGATTTTATAGGAGAAGCTTGTATATATCGATTACTTGGTTGGAATGTGTTGAAGCTTATAGAGTGATTTCATTTCAAAAAATTAATGATTAATGATATAAAATTATCGAAACAAACAAGCTTTATTTATTCATCCTAAAGTGGATGGTGAGGGTTCGAATCTCTAAAGTGAATGTATGGGTGATGTGTGTGAGTTTCTTGCCAATAAATAAAAAAATAAAAATAAAAACTTTATTTATTCATCAATAATCATTTATTAGGGAGTTGCTATTTTTTTTTTTTTTTCCGCTATTGGGTAGATATAATGGTTACAACTTACATCAAGCTATATTGTTGAATTAATTGCATGGAAAGCCCACATTTTTTAAGCTGAACGGAGGGTTGTTGCAATCTCTAACATGGCTCTGTTTGTTGTCTGATTTTCCATCTTATAATTTAGCTTGAGGCCTGACTTTACATCCGGTGCACGATATTATTCAATTATCTACTGCATTGTAACCTAGACTCTCTGCCTGCGGTTGCGCACGTATAATCCACTCTCTAGACCTAGTCATGCAAATTAGTTAGTTGATAATCATGTCTGGGTTTTCAACTAAGATTGTACATATAATCCTCTCTCTAGACCTAGTCATGCAAATTAGTTAGTTGATAAATCATGTTTGGGTTTTCAACTAAGATTTATTATTTCCAGTGCTGTTGAAGATTGTCCCCCGAGGCTCTCTATTTGAAAATTTGACATTTGTGTTTAAGGTTTTTCTTTCCGAAATTCTAGAAACGAATCATATAATTCCGTGACGATCCAGTCAGTAGATATTGTATATAGTATTCATTTATGCTTTTATAACACGTTAGAAACAAATGTAGAAACTAATCAAACTTATAATTTAATATAAAGTTACTTATGTTATTCCAAACCCTTTAAAAAGCAAGAAGAAGTATAGCAAGACAATATCATTCACCAACGATTATTATATATTTCCCCCAACTCATATACTTGCAGATTTTTTTTTTTTTTTTTTTTTTTAAATCAGAAGATGGATGCATGCATCTGATCATAGTAGGAGCCAGAAGGACCATTGTCAGGCAACAAAGCCACCATTACAGGTGCTCTAGCACCTTCCTCCGGAGTCAAGTCTCCCATGTTACCTGTAATATCTGTTTTGACATAACCAGGATGAACACAATTTACGCGGAAATCAGGAAACTTCCTTGCTATAAGCCTCGTATAGGCGTTTATGGCAGCTTTGGAAACTTTATAAGCAGACGGGGGCCATCCATTAGCCTGCAATTTATTCTCCTTGTAATCAATTAGAAACCACCGCAACACCTCATCTATTTTTTCTTCAGTTAAGCTGGCGACATTTTGCAGCTCTTCTTTGACCTTCTCGTTGTTGATATACTGAAACAAAACAAAACAAAAAATATAAAAGAGAAAATAATTAGAGGTTATTGTCTTTTTCTGTTCCATCACCGGACATGATAATCATGCATGAAACTGGTGTCTGCTTACACTTAGTTGTCCGTAAACAGAGGAAACGTTCACTATTCTTGCTGAATTGGAGAGTTGCAAGAGAGGAAGAAGTGCTTCAGTTACTCCTTTGGTTCCATAATAATTTGTCTTGAGACACTCTTCTGCCATCTCATAAGGTCGCTTTATGACTTTCTCCGCATTCTCATCACTCACCTGCATACATATTTCAGAAAGTCTCATTCCTGCTACTCAATCAAATATTTGATCATATTGTTCTGTAAAGACTAATGCTTTTGGAGTTTAAACATTTCCTGGATTTACTGAACCTAAAAACCAAATATTCTTTCTATGTTAATAATTACTGGAAGAGATTTAAATTAAATTATTTGATAAAAAATCTAAAAGGGAAGAGATTTAATACTTACAATCTTCCAATCACCAATTCCTGCATTATTGACCTGTAAAGAAGTTTATTCCACAGAATAGCCATTAGCAATTTATCTTGATAACCTGATATTCCTCAACACATGAGAAAGTGCTGTTATTCATCTCTTTTTCATTTCTTTGTATGCTATCAAATTGAATAAACGGAAGACATCATGCTAAGCCATTGTCTATGTATATTGATATAAATTTATTTTCTTGATATAATAGCAATATCCAAGTCCTTAATTCACAAGGCATATCTTGATTCTCACCAGGATATCAAGTTTTTTGAAATGTGTTTGTACATATTTTGCAAATGAAGCAATACTTGCAGGATCTTTTATGTCAAGTTGATGAAAAAACACATCTGAGAGGCCAGAAACTTTGAGATTGTCAGTCGCTTCGATACCCTTCTTCTCATCTCTGGCTGTTAATATTACTGCAATTCCATTAGATGCTAGCTGGCGACATATCTCAAGTCCAATGCCTTTGTTGCCTCCTGTAACCACAGCTAACCTGAAATAACAGTGATCCATTAGAGATTATACATACATATATATAAACAATATATATGTATATATAATTATAAAATGAGAGTCATGAGTTGAAGATACCTTTTTCCTGTTGAACTGTTGCTGGTCTCTTCCATTTCTGTTGAAAAACTAGAGCTGTGAGTTGATACTGAATGATGTTCACTTTGTGAGAATCCGCCTTAATCCCAAGCTGGGTTGACCTTTTCTCTTTCTTGATAATGGGGGGTCAATTATTTAATTGCCACCCTCATGAGTCATGTCCTACGGTGGTTTTGCCTTTGTTTTTCTTCTTAAATTTGATTCTTTTTTATCTCTTTTTCTTTTTTCTATTCTCAGTATCTTTCACTTAATCGTAACAGATATTTCTCTATTCTATAAAAAATTGTAGCTTTATCTCAACGAGGTGAGTTTGTCCACCTTGGGATTAAGCACCACCCATGTTATACTTTCTTTTTTTTTTGATAAGTACCACACACGTTATACTCATGCCAGCTTTATTTATTTTATAGGGTCGAACTGACATATCGTCAAAGTTGTTGGCTGATAGCACCTATCTGTAAATCTTATTTTTGCACTCCATGTGATTGCCAAAAGATTTGGGAATAGAAAAGAAATTTTTAATAGGTTCATATATTTAAATTGCAGTGTGTAAGTAATTTATTTACAGATCAGAATCAATAAAGTAATTTATGTACATATTGTCATAGTAAAATAAATTCAAAGTTATCAAAAACATTTTTTTTTTGTAGAAATTCAACTCATTTATGATACTACAACTTGAGCTTTCATCCAGTCAGCTCCAACAATGACTGCAAACTCTACAAAAATTCAAAAGTGCTAAAATTGTGATTCTTGCAAGTAAACATCAACGGACGGAAGACAAGTATTACGAATCAAAAAGAAAGAAGGGGATGAGAATGAGAAAATGGGATAGGGCCAGATAAAGGAGGTGAGAAGACAGACGAAGGGATGAGAAGTAAATTGAATGAGGAAGATTAGAGACTGAGGGATTGAAAAAAGCAAGAACGAAGAGGGAGAAAACAGAGGAAGAGAGTTTGCAAACTCAAAATATTATTAAATAATCCAAAGCTGAATTGTTAGATTACATATGAGCAAACTTAAACAAATCTTAAAATATTAAAATACTAAAATATCCCTAAAAATAGAACATTGCCAAAAATAACAAAACCAACAAAAAAAAAAAAAAATCTAGTTATATCAAGTCCCTAATTTCACCTTGCATACAAATTATAATGTAACCTCTAATAAATTTATGATTCTTAATATGAGCATATGCAATAAATTCATAATTTTGTTACTCAAAACAATTTGTTGTCGCATATTGGCATGAAATTCATTGACAAGCTGGACAAAGGAATCTGAAATTTTTAATGAACAAGAATGTAGAGGCAACAAAATGAAGTCAACGGGTTGTGAAGAAACACCTAGATAGAATCACTAAGGAACGAGTTCCAGCAGATCAGTTGACCAAACTGTTATATGCAAACTCCTTGATAGATAACAAGAAGTCCCAAGTGTCAAGGGGCTCTATTACAAAATAACTAACCAACTTTCCTAGACCTTGGTTTACAATCGGAATTTTCTTACCAGTTTGAGCATAAAATGCAAAGGAAAATTTAAAATTGGTGCCTACAGATGTCCAAAAGTGTTTTTCAAAAATGACTTTTGTACTTAACATCCCTATTGCACATGATAGAAGTGGGTAACTTATGAAGAGTATTAATACCTGCAAGACTATCTTGATTTGACCCACTTCTTTGGCTAACACATGTTTGTCATCAAAAAGGTTGAAGAGAAGTCCAATATATGTGGTGCTCTAGATTCCCTTTCTGGTGGCCTTGCTGGTTTTGCAAGGTTTAGCATTATAGTTTTACCATTGCACTTGAATGATCTTGGACTAGAGAAAATGTCGTGATAGGCCGTGGACTTGACATGATAATGGTGATGATTGTTCCTCACATAGTTTTGGGGAATCGAATGTGTCACCCCTAGGGTACGTAAATATGTGCAAACTTCTCACGGAGTTGAGTGAGTGAACCATAGCTCATGACATGCTCTATTGTTTGGGTTCTCAATTCCATTTTAAGTGGAATCTTGGACGTGCCTCAAATGTCCATATCGGTCCTCATTGGGACGATGAGGAGATGAAAATCGTTGTGAAATAATTGCCAATATATGACTCCAATTAGATTAAGTAAAACCAAATTATAAATTATTGCAATGATCACACAATAAATTGATGCAAGAAAGGTGGGCAATACTGGTCAGAATTTAATGTAGTTTTTTTCGGAGACAAGCAACAAAGGGGCGATGGGGTTCATATAATGGTTTCCAATTGAAGGACCCATTGCAAATTTATTGATTCAAGAAACAGATAAAAAAATTAATCACAAATTTTCAAGATTGGTGTACCTTTGACAAATCCGATCTGAGTGTCAAAGTGAGTAGAATGTTCCCGAATTGACAATTGTTTAAAGGTTAGTTGATAATCATGTTTAGTTTCTCAAAATAGTGTTATTATTTCAAATGCTAGCGCAAGTTTGTCATTGAAGGCTCTCTATCTGAAGAATTGACATTTGTGTAAAGGTTTTCCTCTCTGAAATTGTGGAAAAGAACATGTGGTTGCTACCGAGTCAACCTCAATTAAACCTCTATAAACGAGAGGTGTCTGTCAATGAATTAACACAAAACATTTAATATAGAATTTCTTTTCCGTTATACGATTCCAAGCACTATACAAAATTACTTTTCTGTTACACGATAATTATTGTTGTTAAACTCTTTGGTGCATTATGGGTGAGGACAATATTTCTTTTTGCAGTCCAAGAACAGTTATTTGTACGAATCATAAAAATTGTTTTTCTTTCTTTCCCTAAACATCTACAAACACATTTGTTGCCTAATTCTGGAAAAGTGGCATTTGTATCATTCTGGATTTTTCTTCGATTGATAAATATCCATGAATCTATTGCCACATACTTCAATCCTCTTATGCTGCATGGATTAATGTAGCAAGAGTTTATTTAAAATACCCCTGAATTTACTTGTTCCTTAAACACAAGATTTATACGTCCATATATATAATTATATGATAATTATCTACAACAGGAAGCTTCAATACTTACTTTAACCCCTCCTCCTATGAAGACTCTAAATGCTTCATGATCTGTTACAATAACTCCACCAATTCCTGCATTATTGACCTGCATAGAAGTTAAATTGCACAGAATATGCATTAGCTTGAAATGTTTATTTATAAATTTGTGTGAATAATTTGTGTTTACATATGGGTTTATTTATAAATTTGTGTTTACATTGAAATGTTTATTTATAAATTGTGTGTGTGATCCACTGAAGATTATACCATTATTTATAAATTGTGTGTGTGAATAATTTGTGTTTACATATGGTAAAAAATGAAAGTCTGACGCCTTTTTTCTGCTTAAGTACTTTTGGTGGCCTCTTCCATTTCTGATTTAAAAAAATACTAGAGTATTCCTTGTGCTTTCTTGATCTTCATCATGTATACTTTAACCCTCGTGAATGTCTATGTGTTGCTTAAAGAAAACTCATGGCCTGCATCCTCAAGAATCAAGATTGAGCATATATGTATATATATAATTTTGGTGAAGAGTTTCAAGCTTGAAATGTTGAACTCTCGAGCTAGCATCTCCTTGTGTTTCTGTCAATGTGTGGTGTAGGCTGCACCCTCTTGGCACCATTATTTGTGGATAGTGATTTGTGTGGTACTGTGTGGTGCATCCTTATTTATATCTTTTTGAGGTTGGAGCTACAATTCTATCTTAACAAACATGCACTTAAGTACCACAAGGCATTAGGACCAGTGTAAGTATGTTTGATTCAAGACTGCAAATGATCCGAGTCGAGCTTTAGCTTGTTCGGGCTCAGCTCGCCAAGGCCAGACAATTGCTCGCGCTCGGCTCGTATGTGTATATATAATACTATATATAGCTCGTATGTAAATGCGTTTGTATATATGTATTATGTATAAGCGCGTGTATCAGATGAATCAACTAACCAACACAACAAAAATGGCCATCAGTCAAATCGACTTCATAATTCCCCAATTAATCACCAATTCTCTAAATTTCATTGTCTTCTTCTCAAGCTTTAAATGAATCGATCTTCTCTAATTTTCATAGTCTTCTTTGCAAGCTTCAAACCCATCTCCGATTCACCAAGGAAATATAAAGCTACAGAGATAGAGAGAGAGAGAGCTCACCTTGATGTCGTCTGTGGGGTCGAAGGACGGTGCAGTGGAAGATTGCCATCGTTGTTGCAGAAACGGCCTGTTTTAGGATTTTTTATCTAACCCTTAAGCGTGATATAATAATATTCCTGTATAATCCTTTGGCTGAGATGATAATATATGATTGGGTGAGTGGGCTAGTTAATTAAATGGACTTTGTTGGTTATTTGGGCTTCTAAAAACTGAACTACAAGTGATGTGTTTGGGCTATTGCATATATGGGTTGGGTTTTTAAATATTATAATTTAAATATAATATATTTTTATATAAACGAGCCTATTCACAAGGCGAGCTAAACATTACTCAAGCTCAGCTCGTTTACTAAATGATCTTGATAAATGAGCTCGAGTTCAGCTCGTTTATTAAACGAACGAGTTCGAGCTATTCATGAACCACTCGGTTCATTTGCTATCTTATGTTTAAATCAATGATTGTGCTCGGTTCATTTGCAGTCGTATTTTTAAATCAATAATTGTTTCTTTTTTTGTATTCAATTGCCAAACCCTGTCATTTAAATAATATCATTGATCAAAGTGTAATAGGTACATATATATATATATATAATTGCAGTGTGAGAAACTTATTTACAGATCAGAGTCAATAAAGTAATTTACGTGCATATTATTTATGGTTTGCAGTCGCGGAATCGGTCGTAGTGTAACGGACTCGGACAAATATTAGTGTAAATCGGCCGATTCATGGAGGTGTGTAATGGTTTCGGACCCTTGAAAAAGGATGACGTATCGGTTGATACGGCGAACCATTATATTATCATAGTAAAATAAATCAAAGTTATGAAATCCTTTCTTGTTGAAATTCAACTCATTTATCATTTAAAGTGGCTCCGTTTGTTTTATGATTTTCTTAGTATCTTATTTTAAACTGAATGGAGGGTTGTTGCAATCTTTAACGTGGCTCCATTCGTTGTCTGATTTTCTATCTTATTTTGAGCTTGAGGCCCGACTTCACATCTGATGCACAATATCATTCAATAATCTACTGCATTGTGACTTGGACTCTCTCTGCCTGCAGCTGCGTGCGCAATATCATTCAATAGTCTACTGTATTGTGACCTAGACTTTCTCTGTCTGCGGTTGCGGACATGTAATCCTTTATAGACCTAGTCATGCAGATTAGTCAATTGATAATCATGTTTGGGTCTTCAACCTAGTGTTATTATTTCCAATGTTATTGAAGATTGTACCTGGAGGCTCTCTATTTGAAAATTTGACATTTGTGTAAAGGTTTTTCTTTCTGAAATTCTAGAAACGAATCATATAATTCCGTGACCATTCGAGTCAATAGATATTGTATATAGGGCCTGTTTGAATTGGCTTTTGAAATGTTGTTTTTAGCTTTTTGGATTTAAAAGTTGTTTTTAATAGTGTTTGACTAATTTTTGAAAAGTACTTTTGGATCTTAGAAGAGCATTTTGGAGAAGTTGGTACTTTTAAGTACACGAGAAGCGAACACGATGTTCTTCTTCCCAAGCCCTAGGGCAAAAGAAAAAACTGAGAAACCTCACGCTCAATATCACCTTTGAATATCATCTCAGTCCCTTGGCGAAATTTTGATGTCCATCTTGCACTCCTCGCAAAATCAAGCTTCAATATGGTTGTCTTCTTCCCTCTCAAAACCCTAATCAATCATGGACTCCTCACCTTTTGACAACTACAACCCAACTCTGACTCTCCGTCTCCCATAAAATACTCAAACCATCCAGATCTATAATTCTCAACCCCATGTCGATTTGTCCCACAAAATTTTAGGTGATACTTCATTTTTCTAGGCTCGTTTCTTTAATTTTTTCCCTAACTCACTCGAAATCGTTTGTGTAAAGTTCGTTCTTGCTTGATTAGTGAATGAAAAACTTTAAAAAATTTAACCCAAAATATTAAGATTAATTCGGTGGGGCTTCGTCCTTTATTCTCATTCTCTACAAGCCAGATTGCTTGCTCTCTCAAATTTGGATAGTTTAATTTTAATATAAAAACAAACGCAATATGGACAATTTTTTTGTTGTTGGACTTTAAAATTAGGGATTTTGATGTTGATAAATACACGGTTCATTGCTAATTCTAAAATTAATATTATAATTGAAATAGAAGACAACTATTTGTTAATACTATATTCTTGTTTCTGTAAGTTCTGGTTCTCCGTCAACACCAACAGTTTTGAATGCAATATAAGAAGTGGCAAAATTGTGCTTTAGTGGGATTTTTTTTTTTTTTGGATAAGTGTGCTTTAATGGAATATAAGAGGATGCTTTGATGGTATTTGCCAAATCAAATACTTCATGTAAAGGTATAATAGTTGTTTCCATAGTAAAAGAAGTGCCCAAATTGGGCTTTAGTGGGATTTTTTTTTTTTTTTTGGATAAGTGTGCTTTAATGGAATATAAGAGGATGCTTTGATGGTATTTGCCAAATCAAATACTTCATGTAAAGGTATAATAGTTGTTTTCATCGTAAGAGAGATTCACCAAATGTTTTTTCAAACACACATTTAAAACTCTATTAAAATACAATTAAAAACTATTTTAAAATATAATTTCCAAACACCCACAAATAATCTATATAGAAGCTATTGCTTCCGCTTCTCTTTGTAGAAGCAAAATCTCGTTGTAGAAGCAAAAGTAATGTCAAACAGGCCCATAGTATTCTTTCATGCTTTTGTAACACGTATTAGAAACAAATGTAGAAACTAATCAAACTTAAAGTTTAATATAAAGTTGCTTATGTTATTCCAAACCCTTCAAATAGCAAGAAGTATACCAAGACAATATCATTCACCAATGATTAAAATCAGAAGATGGATGCATGCATCTGATCATAGTAGGAGCCAGAAGGACCATTGTCAGGCAACAACACCACCATTACAGGTGCTCTAGCACCTTCCTCCGGAGTCAAGTTTCCCATGTTACTTGTAAGATCTGTTTTGACATATCCAGGATGAACACAATTTACGTGAAAAATCAGGAAATTTCCTTGCTACGAGTCTCATATAGGCGTTTATGGCAGCTTTGGAAACTTTATAAGCAGACACTGTAAGGGGCCCCCCATTAGCCTGCAATTTATTCTCCTTGAAATCCATTAGAAACCACCGCAAAACCTCATCTATTTTTTCTTCTGTTAAGCTGTCGACATTTTGCAGCTCTTCTTTGACCTTCTCGTTGTTGATATACTGAAACAAAACAAAACAAAACATAAAATATAAAAGAGAAAAGAATTAGAGGTTATTGTCTTTTTCTGTTCTATCACCGGACATGATAATCATGCATGAAACTGGTGTGTCTGCTTACACTTAGTTGTCCGTAAACAGAGGAAACGTTCACTATTCTTGCTGAATTGGAGAATTGCAGGAGAGGAAGAAGTGCTTCAGTTACTCCTTTGGTTCCATAATAATTTGTCTTGAGACACTCTTCTGCCGTCTCATAAGTTCGCTTTATGACTTTCTCCAACAAGTGGGCATTCTCATCGCTCACCTGCATATATCAGAAAGTCGCATTCCTGCTACTCAATCAAATATTGATCATATTGTTTTGTAAAGACTAATGTAGTTAGAGTTTAAACATTTCCTGGATTTACTGAACCTAAAAACAACTTGTGTGTTAAATATTCTTTCTATGTTAATAATTACCGGAAGAGAATTAAATTAAATCATTTAATAGAAATTATTTGATAAAAAATCTAAAAGGGAAGAGATTTAATACTTACGATCCCCCATCCTTCTTTGAAGGCTCTAAGTGCTTCATGATCTGTAACAGAATCACCAATTCCTGCATTATTGACCTGGAAAGAAGTTTATTCCACAGAATAGCCATTAGCAATTTATCTTGATAACCTGATATTCCTCAACACATCAGAAAGTGCTGTTATCCATCTCTTTTTCATTTCTTTGTATGCTATCAAATTGAATAAACGGAATACATCATGCTAAGCCATTGTCCATGTATATTGATATAATCATATAAATTCATTTTCTTGATACAATAGCAATATCCAAGTCCTTAATTCATAAAGCATATCTTGTTTCTCACCAGGATATCAAGTTTTTTGAAATGTGTTTGTACATATTTTGCAAATGAAGCAATACTTGCAGGACCTTTTATGTCAAGTTGATAAAAAAACACATCTGAGAGGCTAGAAACTTTGAGATTGTCAGTCGCTTCGATACCCTTCTTCTTGTCTCTGGCTGTTAATATTACTGCAACTCCATTAGATGCTAGCTGGCGACATATCTCGAGTCCAATGTCTTTGTTGCCTCCTGTAACCACAGCTAACCAGGAATAACAGTGATCCACTAGAGATTATACATACATATATATAATTATGAAATGATAGTAATGAGTTGAAGTCGAAGATACCTTTTTCCTGTTGAACTGTTGCTGGTCTCTTCCATTTCTGTTGAAAAACTAGAGCTGTGAGTTGATACTGAATGATGTTCACTTTGTGAGAATCTGCCTTAATCCCAAGGTGGGTTGACCTTATCTCTTTATCTGATAATGGGGGGTCAATTATTTAATTGCCACCCTCATGAGTTTTTTTTCTTCTTAAATTTGATTCTTTTTTATCTCTTTTTCTTTTTTCTATTCTCAGTATCTTCACTTAATCGTAACAGATATTTCTCTATTCTATAAAAAATTGTAGCTTTATCTCAACGAGGTGAGTTTGTCCACCTTGGGATTAAGCACCACCCATGTTATGCTAATTTTTTTTTTTGTGATAAGTACCACCCATGTTATACTAATGCCAGCTTTATTTATTTTATAGGGTCAAAGTGACATATCCTCAAAGTTGTTGGCTGATAGCACCTATCTGTAAATCTTATTTTTGCACTCCATGTGATTGCCAAAAGATTTGGGAATAGAAAAGAAGATTTTAATAGGTTCATATATTTAAATTGCAGTGTGTAAGTAATTTATTTACAGATCAGAATCAATAAAGTAATTTATGTACATATTGTCATAGTAAAATAAATTCAAAGTTATGATAAACCATTTTTTTTTTTTTTTTTTCAACTCATTTATGATAACTACAACTTGAGCTTTCATCCAGTCAGCTCCAACAATGACTGCAAACTCTACAAAATTCAAAAGTGCTAAAATTGTGATTCTTGCAAGTAAACATCAACAGACGGAAGACAAGTAGTGCTTAGATACGAATCAAAAAGAAAGAATGAGAAAATGAGATGGGGCTAGATAAAGGAGGTGAGAAACAGACGAAGGGATGAGAAGTAAATTGAATGAGGAAGATTAGAGACTGAGGGATCGAAAAAAGCAAGAACGAAGAGCAAGAAAACAGAGGAAGAGAGTTTGCAAACTCACAATATTATTAAATAATCTAAAGCTGAATTGTTAGATTACATATGAGCAAACTTAAACAAATCTTAAAATATTAAAATACTAAATATCCCTAAAAATAGAACATTACCAAAAATAACAAAACCAACAAAAAATAAAATATAGTTACATCAAGTCCCTAATTTCACCTTGCATACAAATTATAATGTAACCTCTAATAAATTTATGATTCTTAATATGAGCATATGCAATAAATTCATAATTTTGTTACTCAAAACAATTTGTTGTCGCATATTGGCATGAAATTCATTGACAAGCTGGACAAAGGATTCCGAAATTTTTAATGAACAAGAATGTAGAGGCAACAAAATGAAGTCAACGGGTTTGTGAAGAAACACCTAGATAGAATCCCTAAGGAACACCTAGATAGAATCCCTAAGGAACGACTTCCAGCAGATCAATTGACCAAACTGTTATATGCAAACTCCTTGATAGATAACAAGAAGTCCCAAGTGTCAAGGCGCTCGATTACAAAATAACTAACCAACTCTCCTAGACCTTGGTTTACAATTGGAATTTTCTTACCAGTTTGAGCATAAAATGCAAAGGAAAATTTCAAATTGGTACCTACAGATGTCCAAAGTGTTTTTCAAAAATGACTTTTATACTTGACATCCCTATTGGACATGATAGAAGCGGGTAACTTATGAAGAGTATTAATATCTACAAGATTATCTTGATTTAACCCACTTCTTTTCCAATTAAATCTAACTCGTTTTTCTTTTCCAAATCCAAATGCAATGTTGTTCGGTTTTTAAACATTGTATGTTGTTCAAATATCAATTTCTGTAACTCCATAATAGATTTTTGTGTTCGACAATGTGACATGAAATTTGTGCAAGAATGCAATTGCTTCATAAACTCTCTTTCCAGAAAGTGTTCATCTAAAGTGGGAATGTCCTTGCTCAAACAATCTGCTAATTTTTGCCATTTCCCTTAAACTATCAATCTTTTAACATAGTAATTCCTAAATTTGGAGTCAAATTTTAACTGCTAAAGTCAACTGGAATTTTCAATCGGAATTTTCTTACCAGTTTGAGCATAAAATGCAAAGGAAAATTTCAAATTGGTGCCTACATATGTCCAAAGTGTTTTTCAAAAATGACTTTTGTACTTGACATCCCTATTGGACATGATAGAAGCGGGTAACTTATGAAGAGTATTAATATCTACAAGATTATCTTGATTTAACCCACTTCTTTGGCTAAAACATGTTTGTAATGAAAAGGTTGAAGAGAAGTCCAAGATATGGAATGCACAGGCGGATGAATGATCTTGGACTAGAGAACATGTCGTGATAGTGGCCCGTGGACTTGACATGATAATGGTGATGATTGTTCCACACATCTAAGTTTTGGGGAAACGAATGTGTCACCCCTAGTGTACGTACATATGTGCAAACTTCTCACGGAGTTGAGTGAGTGAACCATAGCTCATGACATGCTCTATTGTTTGGGTTCTCAATTCCATTTTAAGTGGAATCCTGGACATGCCTCAAATGTACATATCGGTCCTCCTTGGGACGATGTGGATATGAAAATTGTTGTGAAAGAATTGCCAATATATGACTCCAATTAGATTAAGTAAAACCAAATTATAAATTATTGCAATGCTCACACAATAAATTGATGCAAGAAAGGTGGGCAATAATGGTCAGAATTTAATGTAGTTTTTTTCGGAGACAAGCAACAAAGGGGCGATGGGGGTCATATAATGGTTTCCAATTTAAGGGACCCATTGCAAATTTATTGATTCAAGAAACAGATAAAAAAAATTGATCACAAATTTGCAAGAGAAGTGTACCTTTGCCGAATCCGATCCGAGTGTCAAAGTGAGTAGGATGTTCCCGAATTGGCTCTACTAGAGGACAGGAGAAATCCTTAACTTAGTCCTAAAGTAGCTTCCCAAGTGATGAAGACAATGAAAAGTGGTTTCACAACTGTAGTAGAGACTCTGTTCTTTTTTTTTTTTTTTTTTTTGAACTGGTTTACAGTTGCACTAGCCAACTTGACCTTGAGCTCGTAGCCGAACAGGGTTTCTGGGTTGCTATGTTTTTTTTCTTTCGGATTTGGCTTCAAAACAGGCCTGCACTGAAGTAATTTACAACTGGTCTGCGGTTAGGGTTCGTGACAATTGGGTTTGCGATAGGGGAGTTGGGTTTTGGTCAATTAATGATTTGCGCAGGTTAGGTATTGCTTGGATGGTTGAGTTTTGCTTGGTGCAGAGACGGTGGAGGCCTTGATCGATGGTTTTAGTTGAAGAGTTTTGATCATACATATGCAACTTTTAATCACAAGGTAGAAGGGTTTCAAGCTTGAAATGTTGATCTCTGAAGCTAGCATCTCCTATCAGGTGTCAGTCAATGTGTGGGGTAAGTTGCACTCTCTTGGCACCATTATTTGTGGATAAGTGATTTGTGGGGCTACCGTCTGGAGCGTCTTCTTTATATCTTTTTGAGTATTATGAATTTTGGTTAGGGACTTGGATCCCCTAACTTAAAAAATTCTTAACATTAAAATAACTTGAATTAGATAGATTTTAGCATGTGTGGCACATTAATGACATCTAAGTTATATATTGCTCCATATCAAATAATTAACTTAAATTATCAAAGTGACCTTATTTTAAGGTAATAGAAAGAAATCGCATATAACATGTTTTTGTTATGTGCATCTAATTTTTAAATTTATTGGTTGAATTCATCATATTTTGAATGTTGGAAGTCACAATCTCACTGTCGATATTATCAACTTGATCTTGCTTGTAATTCACAGCACTCTCATAATTTAAGTTCCTATTTTACATGCAAGATTTTATTCTATTGTACATGTTTGTGTATATATAATATATTGAATTTTTCAATTAAAGAATTTGTGCACCAAAAATTTTTGAAAAATAAAATAAAATTTCAGAAAGAATAATTTTTACTCGCACAATGAGGAGAGAAAGGAATTTGAAATCTACAATCAGAATTCAAGTTCCAACTTCCCATTCACTATTATTATACATGTTTGTTGTACATATGGGTTATATATTTGATTCAATTTAGATTGAATAACGTGTGCACAAGGTTTGATCAGCGCAAAGAGAGGGAGAGGGGTGATGACGAATGTCATCTCTTTTTTAATTTATTCTCCAAAATGTTCTAGGTGTCAAAGTATTCTTTTAGACAAAAGTGCAAAATACCCCCCCTGATATTTATTCAATTGAGCAAAATATCATCCAAAATAAAAAATTAAACAACTCAATCATAGTAGTTCTGAAATGGAGCATATTGCCTTCCTGCAAACACAGAATTCCTCTTTCCAATGAACAAGTGATGCACGTGATTGATTACTTTATTAAAATGCCAAAACTGCCCTCCATGATGACCATTACGCCCTTCAATGTTTTATCTGTCATATGGTCTTTTGATAAAATGTCCCCCAATATGGTTTGCCAAAAAAAAAAAAAATTTAAAATCTTTTTAATTCGCTTATTTTATTTTTAATTAATCCATTTATTCTAAATTTCAAAAGAAAGCAAAACTTTTCAGAAAAAAAAAAAGGGGGATTTGTGGTTTTATCACTACCGGAACTGCAAAATTGTTCCACAGATCCACCATTTTTTTACCACTTGAAAAAAACGAAAAATCAATTATGTGTTTCAATATAAATCCAAAGATTCAAATCAAATTCAATTCAAAACATATAAATAAAATTTGAGAAAGAAAAAAGAGAAGAATTTACCAGCAGACAGGTATCAGGATGCAACAATTAATGTAATACATCAAGCTGTTTAAAACTGGCAAGGATACCCAATTAATCTATGCTTCCGAAACTTGAACATCCCTCACTTGTTATATAACAAAGAGTGTTCACCATATGAAGCAACAACCCTTTTTTTCTATTATCATCATCAAACCCAAATCTATATATATACATATATATATATACACGATGTTAGATATTAAACAGAAGATTTCACAACCCGACGACAAAACTACGATACCATAAACAAGTCGTGGTTCCTTTGAAAAGAAAGGTCGGCGTTGACAATAATTTCGTCGCCAAATTCCACAGTGTCATCCCCGGATTCTACTGTCGGGCCGGCGACATCACCACCAGAGACGGCACCGGCGGGGAGTCCATATAAGGAGAGAAGTTCGAGGACGAGAACTTCACCAGAAAGCACACCGAGCGGGGAATGCTTTCGATGGCGAACAACGGACCAGACACGAATAATTCGCAATTCTTGATCTGTTTTAGGAAGGCGGAGGAGCTGGACGGCAAACATGTGGTGTTCGGTAAGGTGATTCAAGGCATGGAGGTGGTGGAGGCCTTCGAGAATTTGGGGTCGCCGTCGGGGAAGATGGAGAAGCCTGCTGTGGTCATGGACTGTGGTAAGTATCCTCACTGTTGAGAAGGTTTGGATCTATGAGTGGGAAGATTATGAAACTACTTACCCAAAATTTCTCCTGCTGAGGTGTATGGACTTGATCCATACAATAATTTCTCCTGCAATTGATGAGGCATTTCTGGCCGAACAAGGCTTTATTGAGATGCTGATGGTGCAGACTTTACAACTACTAAGGGTATAAATGACATTTTGCATTTTCATTTTTTTTATTTTTTCTAAAATGATAATTATATTGGGCATATATGTAATTGCACTTATATATATATATCACCGGAAGGAGGAATCCGGCGTCTGCAGGGGGCAATATGCTCCATTTCAGAACTACTATGATTGAGTTGCTTACTTTTTTACTTGAGGAGAGTATTTTGCTCGATTGAATAAACATCAGGGGCATTTTACACTCTTGCCATTTTTTTTATAATGAAATGATGTGGCACAGTATTAGCCTTGCATTTGTATACCATGCTACTTGTCAAGTTTACAATAATTCAACTTATATTAATATAGAGATGTTTTAATTTAGAGGATCTTGGTCATTTGGGTAGACATTCACTTTAGAGCCACAATGCTATATTAATAAGGAATTATTACATATAAATGGTACTAATAATTTATATTTATCATTGGATGGAATTAAAGTCTCATATTTTTTAAAAAATAAAGTTAACCAAAATATTGACGTGAATATAATAAAACGCTGTTTACTCACATATGTACCACTTTGAAGCACATAGATACCACTTTTTGTGCATCAAGTACCACTTTTGTGTTTTGGGCATAAAAGTACCACTTTTTTGTGCAACACAAAAAATAGTACTTGATGACAAAAAGTGATCCCTGCATGCACAAAAAGTGATCCCTGCGTGCCTAAATGACTAAATGTGATACCTCTGTGTGGATAAATAATCTTTTTTCATGTCTTTATTTTTTCAAAACTAAAGAGACTTTGATTCCATCAAATTGTAAATATGGGTCATTAGCACCATTTATATGTAATAATCCTGTCACGACCGAAATTTTTTAAAAAAAAAACCTCAATTCATTCAAATCTAAATACATCAAAATACACCCAAAATCATTATAAAAAAAAAAAAAAAAAAAAAAAAAAAAAAAAAAAGAAGCCCATACAAAGTCAATTTTCTCAAATATACACAAAAATTCTCCAAATTAATAAAATAAATCCTGCAACGCCGACTCTTCCACCTATGCTCGAATCTAACAATCCCCATTTATCTTCAGTACCTAAAACTGGAGGGTGGTGAGACAAAAAGTCCCAGTAGGAAAAATAATAACAAGAATTTCATGGAAGTTTAACAAAACAGCTTCATAAAATACACATATCCATGTGAGTATATAAGCAAAATACATATGCATTTAATTAAAATATTTAATAAAAACTATTGAAGCAAAATCACTCCAAGTCATTCAAGGTATAGAGAACCCTACACTGAAAAAGATTAATTCATCAAATCTCAAGCCTCCGGCCTCCTCTGCAACTCTCGGCTCTCTTTCTCTGTGTCCTCAAACTCGGCCCTCTCCGTCTCTCCCTCTCTCTCAAACTTCTCTAATTTTCGTTCATTGTATGCTCTTCCTCACTCTGTCAACTCTAACTTCCTTCTCTCAATACACTCGATCCACAAACACTTCTTATATAAGCAAATGAACCGATACAGAAAAAAAAAAAAAAAAAAAAAAATTCATGGAAGAATCACATTAACAGAAAACAAAATCAGCCCACGTGAATAGCCTTAATCCAAGACTTTTGGCAAAAAAAATCTATTTCGTGGGCCCCACCGCATCATTACTTTTTTTTCATTTCTCTTTTGCCTTTTTATGTCTCCACTTCGGCTCCTTCTTATCACCATCTGATGCATATATATCTATACAGATGCTACAAACCAAAATCAAACACACTACTCATCTCTAGTGTGATGTTTCCTAATTTATTTATTTATGTATTTATTTAGTTATTTATTTATTTTATTGTATTGTCTTGTTGTTGTAATATATATAATGATGTGGGGATGGGATAGTTTTTTGGCATTGGAATGGCATAGAGGTGATTTAGGATGGTTTGGGAAGGCATTTAAGTCTAATTGCATGGTCACACATTTGACCACTTCTACACTTGACACATGCACCACACTTGGCAGTTCTTTCTCCTGCAAAGGACACCGATACACTAGATGGCAGCATTCCACTAACTCTTACAGACTCCTTCTCGGCAGCTAATCTCAATTTCTTCTTCTCTCTTCTTTCTTTCTTCTTCTCTTCTTCTTTCCTCCATTAGAGCTTGTTTTTGGAGCTTAATTTTGATAGCTTTCTAGAAAGATTTTGGGGCTGCCATAAGAACATAAAATGTTCCTTGGAGAGAGGATTTTCCATTGATGTAAAAAAATCCACACCATTCCTTCATAGCTGAATTCTAAAATTACCTTGGAAATGGGCTGTTGGTTGGTGTTTCAAAGAGGAAGTTACTCCTCTTTCTTTCTCCTTTCCATTGGTGAATCTGGTTAATCAATTGGAGGCTATTTGGTGGGTCTTAGCTTGAATTAGGTAGGAGTTGTTCTAACTCTCACAACCTTTGTTTCTAGTGAATTAATCTCTCTAAATTGAACCTCCTTTCAAGCACGTTAAGTGTGATTCACAAACTAAAATTTCTAGCTCTTGTCATGGTGTGTAGTATGTACTATAAATTAAATTTTTGTTTCTCTAATGTTTGATATATCATATGTGTTGAAACTGAAAAATTAAAACTGAAAAACAGTACTCATAATTGTTGTAATGTACTCACTACAAAAACTGAAAATTTCATGCCTAGTGTACCTCAAATTTTGGGACTGTTTTATGTAATTAGAAATCTGAAATTTGAGCTTGTATAATGATGGTGTATTATGTGCTCAAAACTGAAATTTTACATGTTTAATAGTATATATATATATATATATGCAAGTGTATGAATGTTTTTGAATTGCTATATGTTTACTATGTTCACTTTGCCTTGTAAATTATGTGGAGTTGATGACAATGTGAATGAATTTATTACATGAAAGCTACCTTGATAATTGTTTTTGCTAGAAACCTATTTTGTTAGACTGAGTTTTTATGTAGAAATGCTGCAATATTACGATATTGAAAGGCATGTGTTATTCATGCATTACATTGGGTATCAAATGGGGCAAAAGTTGAATTTTGGAAGGAGGAAATTTCGTTTTGAAAGAAAGAAATTTGATTTTTATTTTGTTTTGGGAAATGTTTTGAAAGATTGTTTGCGAAAACCGGACAGTAAGGAGTTACCTTGTGTCCGTGTCATTAATGGGACCTAGAAGGGACGTAGAGAGCTTGTCTTGCATGTGGTTGAGTTACTAGGCCCCAAATGATGCTAACGGGTTATCTTAGGTCAGGGATAATGACCAATCCTCCTCTCGTGGCGCCAAGGAGTTACCTCGAGCCGGGTTACATTAACGGTTTGACGATTGAGGCGTTGGATGGAATTGTGGAACTGGGAAGTGACATTGACATTTCATTCGCATTGCATTTCATTTCATTCATAGAATTGCATTGTAGAATGATTGTATCTCCCGGCAAACATGATCCCTTTTACTTATAGCTATTCTTTGTGTGGATTCGCAGAAGTATTAAGGAGTGCGTTTTAGGCAACTTCTACTAAGCCATTGCGCCCACTCCATCATTATTATATTTTTTTCAGGTCATGGAAAGGAGGTCGTTGAAGACATCCCTCCGCAAGCTTAGATGGAATTAAACTTTCACATATGACTTTTCTTTTGTATCACTGTATATGTTATATCTATGTGGAGTCTTGTATAGTTTGATCATGTAATAGCAGTAGTACTTATCTTAAAGTCCTGTAATTAATGGACTCTAAGGACTTATGTTTTGGGATGTATATATTCGGGGAAAATTATGAATGGTCATTTATAGCTCTTCAGTTTCATTTTCTATTCTATTGTGTGTACATTGAAATGTACACTTAGGACAGGTTTGGGGTGTTACATCTAGTGGGTCCCGCCCACCATGGTTTCTTATCTTTTCATTTTCTTATCTTCTTCCATCATCTGACATACACTTAACAAGTACAATCTCACCCAAAATAACACCACGTGCAGCCCAAAAAAACCAGAACCCTTGGCCACTAATTTCTGCCCGTGGGTCCCGTGAAATTACCATCATCACATCTCCATTTCCTTTTCCACTTTCGGCTGAACCTGCCCCACTTCACTTCTTCAACAGCTATATATATATATCTATATATATATATACAAAACCAAACCAAATCCATTTCCATATCTTTTCCCCCACCAAATTCGACACCTTACTGCCACCTCTCTCCATCTAACTATATATAAATATAAACACAAAATCAATCAACTTCTAAAAAAAATCTCTAATAAAAATTAAATATTCAATCTTAACTCAAAATCATGAAATATAATTTAAATAAAAATCTTAAAAATTCAGGTCGTCACAAATTTAATTTATGATAATGTAGAGATGTTTTAACTTAGAGTATCCTGGTCGTCTGGGTAGACATTCACCTTGGAGCCACAGTACCATATTAACAAGGGATTCTTACATATTAATAGTGCTAATGATTCATATTTATTATTAGATGGAGTTAAAGTCTCATAGTTTCGAAAAAATAAAGTTGACCAAAATGCTGACGTGGACATACTATTCACTCTCACATAGGTACCACTTTTTGTGCATCGGGTACCACTTTTGCGTTTTGGGCATAGAAGTACCACTTTTTTTGCAGCACAAAAAGTGGTACCTGATGACAAAAAGTGGTACCTATGTGCCTAAATGCGATACCTGGGTAAACAGTATTTTTTCATATCTTTATTTAACTATGAGACTTTGATTCCATCAAATTGTAAATATGGGTTATTAGCACAATTTATATGTAATAATCCCTATTAACAAATAGACAATTAAGTACCACAAGACAATAGTTCCAGTGTAGCTATGTTTGAATAAAGGATTGTTTTTTCTTCTTCTGTGTATTCAATTGCCAAACCCTGTCATTTAAATAATATCATTGATCAAAGTTTAATTGGTTCATAATTGCATTTGAGAAATTTATTTACAGATCAGATTTAATAAAGTAATTTATATACGTATGATTATAGTAAAAGAAATTCGAAGGTATGAAATCGAAATTCATCTCATTTGTCATTTAACATGGCTCTGTTTGTTTTATGATTTTCGTAGTATTTTATTTTGAAACTGAAGTTAACGTTGATCTGTTTGTTGTCTGATTTTTTATCTTATTTTTAGCTTGAGGCCTGATTTTACATCTGGTGCGATATCATTCAATAATAATCTACTTCATATGATGATGTGAAATGCTATAATAAGAGTGACATTCTGTTAATTGCCTTGGCGCACCGATAATGTTACTACATTGTAACATAGACTCTCTCTACTTGCGGTTCGTATATGTAATCTTCCAGACCTAGCCATGTGAACTAGTTAGTTGAAAATCATGTTTGGTTTTTCAACGTAGTGTTATTATTTTAAGTGCCGTTAAAGATTGTTTCAGGAATGCATGTGTACCAATTAGGAAAAAAAAATGAAAAAAATACTGTCAGATGCTCTCTATCTGAATAATTAACATTTGTGTATAGTTTTTTCATGCCGAAATTATAGAAACGAATCATATAGTTCCCGTGACAATCCGAGTCAGTAGATATTGGATATGGTATTCTTTCACGCTTTTATAACACACGGTAGAAACAAATGTAGAAACCAATCAAACTTAAAATTTAATATGAAGTTGCTTATGTTATTCCAAACCATTCATATAGCAAGCAGGTATAACTAGACAATATCATTCACCAATGATTATGATATCTTCCCCTTAACTCACATACTTGCAGATTATTTTTTATATCAGAAGGTGGAAGCATGCATCTGATTATAGTAGGAACCAGAAGGACCATTATCAGGCAACAAAGCCAGCATTACAGGTGCTCTAGCACCTTCCTCAGGAGTCATGTTTCCCATGTTACCTGTAATATCTGTTTTGACATATCCAGGATGAACACAATTTACGCGGAAATCAGGAAATTTCCTTGCTATAACTCTCGTATAGGCGTTTATGGCAATTTTGGAAACTTTATAAGCAGACACTGTATAGGGCCACCCATTAGCCTTCAATTTATTCTCCTTGAAATCCATTAGAAACCACCCCAAAATCTCATCTATTTTCTCTTCTGTTAAGCCTTCGACATTTTGAAGCTCTTCTTTGATCTTCTCATTGTGGATCAACTGCAACAAAACAAAACAAAAAATAATGAGAGAATAGAATTAGAGCTTATTGCATGTCTTTCTTTTCCTTATCTAGACTAGATAATCATGCATTAAACTGGTGTGTCTGCTTACATTTAGTTGTCCAAAAAATGAGGAAAGGTTCACTATTCTTGCTGAATTGGAGAGTTGCAGGAGAGGAAGAAGTGCCTCAGTTACTCTTTTGGTTCCATAATAATTCGTCTCGAGACACTCTTCTGCCATCTCATAAGTTTGCTTTACGATTTTCTCAAACAAGTGGGCTTTCTCATCGCTCACCTGTATATATCAGGAAATTTCATACCTGCTGAACTGCTTTGACATCAGGAACAAATATATATGTATTTGGTTGATATATGTACATGAATTTGTTACCAAGCAATTAATATTGATCATATTGTTCTGTAAAGACTAATGCAGTTAGAGTTTACTTTAAACATTTCATGGATTTACTGCTTCCTAAAAACAACCTGAATGTTAAAATAGGAATTATTCGATAAAAAGTGTCACAGGGAAGTTATTTAATACTTACCATCTCCCATCCTTTTTCGAAGGCTCCAAGTGCTTCATGATCTGTATCAAGTCCACCAATTCCTGCATTATTGACCTGTAAATAAGTTTATTCCACACAACACCCATTAGCAATTAATCTAATAACCTGATATTCCTCAACGCATCAGAAAGTACTGTTATTAAACTCCTTTTCATTTCTTTGTATGTTATCAAATTGAATACACTGAACCATTGTCCATGTATATTGGTATAAATTTACTTTCTTGATATAATAGCAATAGCCAAGCCCTTAATTCATAAGGAATATCTTGTTTCTCACCAGGATATCTAGTTTTTTGAAATGCGTTTGTACATATTTCGCAAATGAAGCAATACTGGCAGGATCTTTTACATCAAGTTGATGAAAAAACACATCTGAGAGGCCAGAAACTTTGAGATTGTCAACAGCTTCAATACCCTTCTTCTCATCTCTGGCTGTTAATATTACCGCAATTCCATTAGATGCTAGCTGACGACATATCTCTAGTCCAATTCCTTTGTTGCCTCCTGTAACCACAGCTAACCTGGAATAACAGTGATCCGCTGAAGATTTTACATACATATATATATCTATACTACTAATAAAAGTGGATCGAATGTATAATATTTATATACACTTTAAAATACTTATTTTAATTAAAAAAAAAAAATTAATGGTTTTCACGCTTCCCAAGGGACAGAAACTTTGACAATATGAAATTTAAACATTTTTTATTATTTATATATTTTTTAACAATTTTATATTACTTTGTATTTCAAATAAAACAATGAATTAATATCTTTTGAATTAAATTTTTGTTATTAATAATTTAATTTAGAAACATGCAACGTTTCGTTATACTGATCTAACTACACATTACTTCCTTTCTTCAAGTGACATATACGTTCATGACTTTCCTTTTTTAAGGGATACAAATGTTTAGCAAAAGTTGCACATTGATCGGTAGATTGTGTTACGGTTATATATAAGTCAGGAAATGACTTATTCAATAGGAAGTTTTGGCACAAAAACATTGAAATAGAAGAAAGACAAAATGAGGTCTGGAGATGGTTATTAACAAAGACGAGAAGTTTGGGAATTGTTGATTGAATCTTGTTAACGAAGAGCTACAGAAATCATTCAGAAAGAAAGAATAAAAAGAGCAGAACACTCCCTGATTGTCTCTATTTAACGTTATCCAATCATTGACCTCTTTCACAAAAATACTATTAGAAATCTTCATATGAAACTCTAACTCTGTATTCCTTATTGTACTAAATGTTTGCAATTTTAGGGTTATCTAACACAGTATATGGATGGTGGCTTGACTGGCCTCAATGATGCATCACCCAATGAGTTTCAGGTTTTTTTTTCTTTTTCTTTTACTATCATGTGTGTGTGTATATTACACACATATATATCTCTTTGTATTGGACTTGAGAAAGTATTATATATATTTTAACACCCTTGTAAACTAAACAAATTACTAATATTTTTTAAAACTGGATAGATTATTGTTGATAAAGAATTAGTTTTACTTTCAAACACCTTTTAAACCAAATTCCTATTCTCCTTCGTTGTTCACATTGATGGTTACATAATTAAATTAAATCACCTCTCTAATGAAATTAGAATTGAAATTTTATTTTTCAATAAAAATAAATGATAGTAGATATAACCAATTCAGTAATATATCTTTCATTATCAAAGTCAACAGTTGTGCCATTTTTATCCGTATATATAAATTGTTAGCATATTTTACAATTTTGGACATGGCATGTGTAATTAATTATAATAAATGAAAAAATTCAAACCTATGTAAGTTTCATATATACCAAGTTTTAACAATTAAGGAGTTACATTCACATTCAAACACCTCTTCTACCAAAAATTACGATTATGAAAAAGAAAAGAAAAGAAATTTCGCTTGCCTAGCATGCAAGTGTGAAATGACATAGGTTTAGATATGATTAAGGGCTAGATTCACATGCATGTAATTAGGAGGATTTCAGGTGTGTTTAGATTCTTTACAATTAGCCGGTACACCTTACATCATAATTCACTAATGTACATAATTATATCAAAAACTTTTAGGGTGACTAATTCAAGTTTTCTAATGCTGGTGTTTATGGAGATACTTTTTAACTTTATTATTTAAAGTTTGTAATAAAATTTGTAGTTTGAATTTGATAGCATTTCTTTTTTTAATAAAAAATTAATTAATTTTCAAATATTAGTTGGTTTATTGAAAAGGTGATAGAAAATAAAGGAGTTACCTCAAGACATCTGATCCATTGTTGTTGAAGACATAAAAGTTATGCTGAAAGTTAATTTGGGTCTTTAGTTGGTTTGGTGTCTCATATTATGCAATAAAGTGGCACAAGTTAGGTAAGACCTTCGTGGCTTCTTGAAGTCATTATTGATGATTTATCCTCTTTTTCTTAATCTAACTTTGGAGAGGAGTTATAGTAGTGCAACTTTGGTATTATTCAATTGAGCTTAATTTACTAATCTCTTCTTCTTTCTTGTACTATATTTTTCACAATGAGTGGTACTCAATATATCTCTAATTATTAAAGTCACTTGATTAAGTATTTAACACAATATAAACATGACTTAAACAAGTTTATTAATATTATGATGTTAGATATACAATTTTTTTTTTTTTTTGGTTGACTTCTTCATTATACTGCACAAAGAATCTAAAGTAATTTATGAAAAAAAATAATAATAATCAAAGGTGCATGGCACGTTGATTTTTCTAATATAGATATCTATATATATATATATATATATATATATATATATATATAAGTTGTGTATGAATAATTTGTATTTACATATTGTAAAAAATAAGAGTCATGATACCTTTTTGGCGTTGAAGTACTGTTGGTGCTCTCATCCATTTCTGATGAAAAACTAGAGCTGTGATCGAGTTGATATTGAATGATGTTCACTTTGTGAGAATCGGCCCTAATTTAAGCACCATTGAAGCTGTCACGAGATGAGTTTGCCCATACATAATTGCCATGCTGTTTTGGCCTTTTCTCTTTATTTGATAATGGGTCAATTATTTAATTCCCGCACTTAATTCCCATGCTGTTTTGGCCCATGTCCCAAGGTGGTTTTACATTTTTTTTATTAAATTTGATGCTTTTTGATCTCTCGTTCTTTTTTTATTTTCCGTATCTTGATCTAATCCTAACAAATCTTCTATTTTATTATTTTCCGTATCTTGATCTAATCCTAACAAATCTTTCTATGTTCTATAAAAAATTGTAGCTTTATATATCTCAATGAGGTAAGCACCCACGTAATACTGATGCCAAGTTTATCTATTTTATTGGGTTGAAGTGACATATTCTTAAAGTTGGCCGACAACACCTATCTGTAAATCTTATTTTTGCACTCCATGTAAATCTTCTTTTTCTGTTCCTTCACCTGAGGCCATCTTCAGCGGGCTAGCTTAAGCCCATTTCCAGCTAGCCAAATGGATTATTCTTTCTCCAACGGGCTAGCTAAAGTGAATGGGGTTCAGTAACGATCGCAGGCCGGCTTGTGATTCCTTCTCCAATGGGCTAGCTAAAGTGAATGGGGTCCAGTAGCAATCGCGGACCGGCTCACAGTATTCAGGGAGCCGACCCGCGATTGCTGCCCATTTTTTTTTTTTGTTTTTTCTGCTTCAAAAACGGCGTCGTATTGACTACTTATTTTGTCTCATCTACATAATGGTGGAACAGTATCCAAACAGTGCCTGTTTGGCAGAATTATTATTTTTTAAATAATAGCTAAAAATAGGTTCTTTTGAGCTTTTTTAAGGAAAATAAAATTAAAATAAAATTCATTAAATAAAAAATATATTATTTAGCCATTGTTTGTCCAAAAAAAAAAATTTTTGGGCCAAAAATAAATTAAAAAACCTTTTTTTTTTTTTTTCCCCCTTAAAATTTGTTTTTTTTTTTTTTTTTAAATGTTTTTGCTTAAAATTTTAACTGTAAGGCCAAATAGTGTATTTGGCCGTTAAGGCACTATTTCTACAATACCAAATAGTGCCTTAACGACTATAATTTTTTTTAAAAAAATTTAAAAATTCAAATTTTACCCTTTTTTTTTTGTTTTTTCCCTTAAATTTTGATTTTTTATTAATTTTTTTTGCTTTAAATTTTAAACGTGTAGGACAAATATTGTATGTGGCCGTTAAGGTACTGTTTTTACAGTACCAAACAGTGCCTTAACGGCTATAATTTTTAAAAAAAAAAGTTTAAAAATTCAAATTTTACCTTTTTTTTTTTTGTTTTTCCCTTCAAATTTGATTTTTTATTAATTTTTTTTGCTTTAAATTTTAAACGTGTAGGCCAAATAGTGTATGTGGCCGTTAAAGCACTGTTTCTACAGTACCAAACAGTGCCTTAACGGCTATAATTTTAAAAAAAAAGTTTAAAAATTCAAATTTTTTAACTTTATTAAAAAAAATAAATTAAATTAAATTAAAATTTTTAAAATGTCTATAAATACCCAAACTCCTACCATCACTCATCACATTTCTATTATCTACCATTCAACTTAGTTCTTCTTTTATTTTCTCAATCTTAGCTATTATTTTCAAAGTCATTTCGATTCCATGGATCCTCGACATCTATATTATTACAACACCCAATTCAACCCATCAAACGATGAGTTTTTGCCATTTTCCGAAGATAATATCAATTATTATGGAGAAGATTCTCAATTTCCTTCTCATCAACCTTCCCAACCTTCTTATTAACCATCATAAACTTCTCATCAATATTGTGGTACTAGTGTTCCACAATCAAGTAACTCAAAACCCCCGTCAAAACAACCGGCTACCCGACATAATAATTGGATCGAGACTGAAGATGAAGCTTTATGTTGGGCGTGGTTGTCCATTACCTCTGATGCGATTACGGGGGCAGACCAAAGTAAGCAGAAGTTATGGGAGCGAATTCTGGAACAATATAAACAACATATTGGTGTTCTAACTGAGCGAAAGGATGGAGGTTTGATGAATCGTTAGTCGGTGATCCAACAAAAAATCAGCAAATTTTTCGGCTGCATGACTACCATAGAAATGAATCGTCCCAGCGGCTTCAGCAGTGATGATATGGTGAGTTATTTATTGTTTAAATATAACTCATAAATATTTTAAATAGTCAGCTTTTAATTTTTTGTTATTTTTTTCGTGTAGATGATAGCAGCTAAAGGCCTGTTTCGTAGCCAAACAGATGGTGAATTTAAGTTAGAAAGTTGCTGGGAGATCTTGAAGCATAACAATAAATGGAATTCGCATTGTGCCGAACAAGTAGGAAAAGGAAAAAAGAAAAAAGAGCCGAAGAAGAGGGGTGGATTTGACTTTGACATTAATGAGTCTGTTGGGCACTCATTACCATCTACTCCGTCAAGTCATGCAACCACGACAGATGGAGCTTCAACTGAAGAATCACCAAACGTAGGGGAAAATGATTCACCCGGTGTAGAAGAATATCAATTACAAAGACCAGTAGGAAGAAAAGCGGCGAAGCAACGTCGAGCAAAAATTAATTCAGCGAATGAATTGCAAACTTCATTCGTTTTGAAATTTAATAATATCACCACCCATTTTGAGAGTCGTCAGGAAAAAATGCAGGATGCCTAAGTGGCACGAAAGGTAAGAAAAATGGAAAAAGAGAAGACAAGGCAGCTAGAGATTAAAGAGAAACAGAGACTTGAAGAGAAGGAGCTCATGTTAACAGATCCAAATTCGGCACCAATAGAAGCGGGGAAAGCTTGGATTATTGCACGACAAAATGAGATATTGGCATCTTTGAATTCACAGTCCGCCCCAAAGTTCCTATAGGATTTTGTAATCCTTGGTTTATTTATTTTCTTATTTCAATTTAGGATATTGTATTATTTAAGTTATTTTTAATTGTTTTGTTTATTTTTTTTTTTTAATCCATAATAGATAATGTATTGTTTCAAGTTCTAATATCAATCGTAGTTTTTTTAATAATTTACAAAAATATTGTTTGATTGAAAAATATTGTCGTTGAGAAAATATAGCCGTTAAAAATATAGCCGTTTAGGAAAAGTTTGAAAAAAAAAATAATTAATTTTAATTTTTTATTATTATTTTTTTTGAAGAGCGAAAATTCGGAGAGCCTGATGAAGTGCATGTTTCTGGAGAGCGAAAACTGCTGACGCAGCTCTTGGAATTGCTGATGTGACTCTTGAAAAAGCTGATATGGTGTTTTTAGAAAGGTAAAATTTGAAGAGGCTGGTGCAGATAGCCTAAAATGTTAATTTAGCAAGAAAGTGTGTTTAGCTACACTTAGTTGTCCGTAAACGGAGGAGACATTCACTATTCTTGGTAAATTGGAGAGTTGCAGGTGGTTCCATAATAATTTGTTTTAAGACACTCTTCTGCTGAATTGGAGAGTAATCAAATATTGTGTATTATTCAATTGACAATCCCTAGTTTCTCCCTACTGTTGAAGGGGTTTAGACCACCCCTACTGAAGGTTCTACCATGTTTCAGATTGTTCAAAAGCTAAAGGCACTTAAGGGGCTGCTCAGGCAAAGGTGCAGAATGGAGATCTCACAAGCTTCTGAATTGGTCGACAAGGTTAAGCTTGCACTTTCTACTTGTCAGGAGCAATTGGATTCTAACCCTATGGATGAACACCTAAAGTTGGTGGAGAAAGACCTTATGGAAAATTATTCATCTCTGGCTCTTGCTAAGGAGCTCTTTATCAGACAGAAATCCAGGGTTAGATGGTTGAAGGCAGGGGATAGCAACACTTCCTATTTTTTTAAAATCTTCAATTCATCAATTAACAGGAAAAAGATCACCTGCTTAACTACTGGGATGGGAATTTCATTGATCAGGGTCCACTTATCAATGCAGAGATTGTCTTTCATTACCATGCACTTTTGGGGTCATCCCCACCCCCCTTACCCTGGGATTGCACACCTTCAACCTTTCTTTACTAAATCACTCCCCCAGCATTATTTGGATGATCTTGTTTCTATCCCGTCGAATACTGAAATTCAACCTTTCTTTCTTGCTCTCAACAAGGAAAAATCCCCTGGGCTGGATGGTTATAATGCCCATTTTTTACATAAGGCCTAGCCTATTATTGGAAATGACATTATAGCAAATATCAAATCCTTTTTTCACAATGGGCATCTCCTTAGGGAAGTAAATAATTCTTATATTGCTCTGGCTCCCAAAGTCCCTAACCCTTCCTCACTTAATGATTTTCGCCCTATCTCATGTTGCAACACTATCTACAAGTGCCTTGCTAACAAGCTTAAGAAAGTCCTCCCTTCTATTATTGATCCCTGCCAGAATGCATTTGTGAAGGGTAGACACATTGGTGACAGTGTGCTCCTTGCATAGGAACTGTTTCATGGGTATCACAGACATCTCATTCCTCCTAGATGTGCCATCAAAGTTGATATAAGGAAGGCATTTGATTCAGTTGGTTGGGACTTTATGCTGGACTCACTCACTCTCTTTGGCTTCCCAAGCATCTTTGTAAATTAGGTGAAAATGTGTATTACCTTTCCCTCCTTTATTATCTCTATTAATGGTGAGTTCCATGGCCATTTTCCAGGGGTGAAGGGGTTGAGACAGGGGAACCCAATCTCACCACTTCTTTTTGTGGTTGCCATGGAAGTGTTGACATCTATCACTAAAAAATTTATTGTAGACAGTCCCTCCTTTAAGTATCATTCAAGGTGCAGGAACTTGGCTATCTCTTAGCTTATTTTTGCGGATGACTTGCTTCTTTTCTCCTATGGAGATTTAGCATCAGTTTATATCCTAAAAAGGGCGCTTGATCATTTTACTATGCTCTCTGGCCTTAGTATCAACTTCTCTAAGAGTAACTTCTTTGTGTCTGGTGTCACTCTTGAACTCACTACTGAGATTGAAGCTCTACTTGGAATCGCATGTGGGGAACTGCCTATGAAATATCTTGGGGTACCCCTAATTTCTACATCACTTAAGGCTACTGATTGTTCTTCCTTGGTGGAAAAGGTTACGAGAAGAATCACTCACTGGTCATCAAGTTTTTTCTCCTACGTGAGCAAGATTCAACTTATCCAATCTGTACTTTATAGCATAGTAATTTTTTGGCTAAGCATTTTCATCTTGCCTAAGTCAGTTATCTCTAAGATTAATAGTCTGATAAGGAATTTCCTCTGGAAAGGGAATGAATTCTCATTCAGAGGGCTAAGATTGCATGGCATGCTGTTTGTCAACCTAAAAACTGTGGAGGTTTGGGGTTTCGAAATCTTGAAGTCTCAAATACTGCTGCTTGCCTTAAGTTATTATGGAATGTTGTGTCAGAACGCATGGACAACCTTTGGGCCTAATGGATTAGGACACAACTCATTTGTGGAAGATGAATTTGGACTATGAATACTCCACATTCATGTTCAAGCAATTGGAAAAAGCTCATGCAACTTAGAGGTGTGGTTCGCTATATAGTTAGAATGCAAGTTGGTAATGGAAACAGAACCTACTTCTGGGAAGACAATTGGCTCCCTTATTGGCCCACTCAACTTCCAAGCCACACCGGATCTAATACAAAACATGCCTATTTTGCCTGGACAGCGTCTCTCTTCACTTAGTGGGAATGAGGGCTGGAACTTCCCGCCAATACTAAAAGTGCAATTCCAAGACCTCCTTTTGATCAGTCCTCCATCTGCAGCAACAGATACCACTATATGGATCCCTTTACCCTCGGGTAACTTCTCTCTCAGACACACTATAGAATGGCTTATGCCCCACCATCAACTAAAGCACTGGCAACATCTAGTCTATCACTCATTTTCCATTCCTCGCTGCAAATTTACTCTTTGGCTGGCTCTACAAAATCGCCTTTCAACGTATGATAGAAAATGTATGCAATCTTTCATTGGGTCTAGATCTTGCCTTTTTTGCCAATTGGTTGAAGAATCCCATGAGCACATCTTCTTTTCTTGCTCCTTCATTAACCCAATTTGGAGATTTCTGCAATCAAAGTGTAAACTTCGCGATTTACCCTCTTCTTGGAGCAATTTCATCATTTGGAGACGCTGAAACCTGCAGAACTCAATCAATAAATTTGTTCTCCCCACCACAGTCAACCAGATCTAGATGGAGCGCAATGAAATGGCCTTCTCAAACAAAAAAAGAACACAAACGAGGGCACTGAATCTCACCATGGATTTGGTGAAACATAGGTTAACCTCCTTGACTGTAAAGGATTCGCACACTGCAATGAGGCTTTTGCTTGAGTGGGATCTGCCTCAGTCCTTCATCAGGCCGCCGCCGGAACCAGATTGACCACCAGAGGCTCTGCCTTATCTCACAACGCTCACCGGATGAATTGTTGTTCTAGACATATCTATTCTAGGGCTCTTAGAATATTAATGTCTTCATCAACTGTTGAATGGGCCACTGTTGGTTCGTCTGTTTGGGCTTGTCGTTTGGGCTTTATTGTACATTTTTCTTATTAATATAACCTTTTACCTTCCCAAAAAAAAAGAAGTAAAAGACTAGACTACCCTTAATAAATAAATCCTCTAACACAATTGACATACATTCATGAATTTATTGCCACAAACTTCAATCCTCTTATGCTGCTTAGATCAATGTAGCGAGAGTTTACTTCAAATACCCCTAAATATACTTTTCCTCAAACACAAGATTTAGCTATCAATATAGAGCAGACCTACATGATAAATATCTACGACAGGTAGCAGCAATACCTACCATACCCTCTCCTTCTATGAAGTCCTGCATTATTGACCTGCATAGAAGTTAATTTTTAACACATGATTTTGTAACACATAACTCCTTCATGAAGTCCCTAAATGCTTCATCCCGGATACAATATTCTTTCATGATTTTGTAACACACAGAAGAGAAATATGTAGAAACTAATCAAAGTTGCTTATTTATTCCAAACCCTTCAAATAGCAAGAAGAAGTACAACTAGACAATATCATGCATACGATTATGATATTTTTCCCCAATTCAGAAACTCGCGATTTTACGTTTTCAAATCAGAACACGGATGGATGCATCTGATCATAAAAGGATCCGGAAGGACCATTATCAGGCAACAAAGCCAGCATTACAGGTCCTTGGGCACCTTCCTCTGTAGTCAAGTTTCCTGTGTTGTCATTCATATCTGTTTTGACATATCCAGGATGAACACAATTTGCACGAAAATCAGGGAATTTTCTTGCTAAAAGTCTAGTATACGCATTTATGACAGCTTTGGAAACTCTGTAAGCAGACACTGTAAGGGGCCACCCATTAGCCTGCAACTAATTCTCCTTGAAATCTATTAGAAACCACCGCAAAACCTCATTTATTTTCTCTTCGGTTAAGCTGTCCACATTTTGCAACTCTTCTTTGACCTTCTCGTTCTTGATACACTGAAACAAAACAAAAATAAAAGGAGAGGAAAGAATTAGAGGTTATTGTCTTATTATGTTCCTTCACCGGATCGACATGCATGAAACTGGTGTGTCTGCTTACACTTAGTTGCCCATAATATGAGGATACGTTCACTATTCTTGCTGAATTGGAGAGTTGCAGGAGAGGAAGAAGCGCTTCAGTTACTCTTTTGGTTCCATAATAATTTGTGTTGAGACACTCTTTTGCCATCTCATAAGTTTGCTTTATGATATTCTCAAACAAGTGGGCATTCTCATCGCTCACCTGCATGTATCAGAAAGTATCATTCCTGCTACTCAACCAAATATTGATCATATTGTTCTGTAAAGACTAATGCAGACTATGCTAAGAGTTTACTTTAAACATTTCCTGGATTTACTGCTTCCTAAAAACAAACCGTGTTTTAAATATCCTTTCTATATTAAAATAGGAATTATTTGATATATAAGGACTGTAACAGGGAAGCTATTTAATACTTACCATCTCCCATCTTTCTTTGAAGCCTCTAATTGCTTCGTGATCTGTATTAACTCCACCAATTGCTGCATTATTGACCTGTAAATAAGTTTGTTCCACAAAACACCCATTAGCAATTAATCAGATAACCTGATATTCCTGCACGTACACATCACAAAGTAGTGTTATTCAACTCTTTTTCATTTCGAGCTTTTTATGTTATCAAATTGAATACATGATGCTAAGTCCATTCTGAATGTATAATATTGGTATTAATTTGTTTTCTTGATATAATAGCAATAGCCAAGTCATGACTTAGTAATTCATAAGGAATATCTTGTTTCTCACCAGGATATCAAGTTTCTTGAAATGAGTTAGTACATATTTCGCGAATGACGCAATACTGGCAGGATCTTGAACGTCAAGTTGATGAAAAAACACATCAGAGAGGCCAGAAACTTTGAGATTGTGAATAGCTTCAATACCCTTCTTCTCATCTCTGGCTGTTAATATTACTGCAATTCCATTAGATGCTAGCTGTCGGCATATCTCTAGTCCAATTCCTTTGTTGGCTCCTGTAACCACAGCGCACCTGAAATAACAGTGATCCGCTAAAGATTATGTATACATATATATATAAACATGTTACCTTAACATATTGCATAAAATGAGAGTCATGAGTTGAAGATACCGTTTTTCTGTTGAACTGTTGTTGGCGGTCTCTTCCATTTCTGATGAAAAACTAGAGCTGTGAGTTGATATTGAATGATTTTCACTTTGTGAGAATCTGCCCATTTAAGCTGACGTGAGGTGAGTTTGTCCATAAAAAATTTCTATGCTTCAATTTCTTCAATAGTTGCAAATGCAACAAAACAACTAATGCAATTGTGTGAACCATACAATTTATTCATATAGAAAATGAAAAAGAATATTCGATTAAAATTCAAATTGAAACTTACCTGAGAAAAAGAAAATGAAGATTGGATAAAAATTTGATCAAATATGTTCTGAAATTCAAATTGAAACTTAATCAAAAAAAAAAAAAAAAAAAATGGTTTTGAATAAATTTGATCAAATATGTGCTGAAATTCAAATTGAAACATACCTCAAACAAAAATAGGACTTTGAGTTGCACTCATAAACCAAGTACGACTCTTCTCAGTTCTCTGAAAGGTTTGAAGTTGTCATCAAAAAATAAAAGAAAGCATTTAATTATTTTTGCACAGAAATTTTTTTTTTCAAAGAGAGATGGATAGAAAGAGCAAAGTGAAGTAGAATGAGAGAGTGGTAATTGTAAGGGATTATTATATATAAATGGTGATAATGCCTTGTAATATAAGTAATAAGGAGAAAATTAAACAGTGACGCATCATTGCAGTGGGTCTCACCTAAGGGCAATACCATTCTCTTGGTTAGTTTGACGAATGGAGACACAGATGTATTTCGCCAGCTAAGAGAGAGATTTAAAGAAATAGGTTTTTGATCCACTTTTTTATTTTTATAAGTCTCTCTGGCGTCGGATTGTGCACCTCACGTGGTAGGTGGTGCGATCTCCAAAGAGAATATCACGTGATGAAATGAGTTTTTTTTAATTCTGTTTTTTACTCTTTATAGGCAAAATCTGAATGTCACCATTTGATAAATTTGGTCATAGCATGGTTGCAGTCGCACAATTGTAGTGTAATGAATTTAAATTGTAGTTATTATTAACTTTTATTTTATTTTATGGTCAGTACTCGATTGCAATTTTGTTTAGCATTTGTTCAGATTATGCAGCACATGTTCATGCGCCCCACGTTAAAAATTCTGGCCAAAACCAAGATCTAGATCGTAACCACCGTGCCCAACGCCACCCGGATCGGCTGCAATGTCGCCGCATGTTACCCGGAAACGCTCATCACCGCCGTCGGTGTCAAGGTCCTGACCACCGTACCCACTTGGGCTCCCCTGCTTATGCCTTCAATCGAGTCCCTCTACAGCGCTGTCGTTGCCGCCAATTTGCATACCCAAATCAAGATATCTGGCGTCGATAGTTCTCGACCCATTTCCGCTTTATTCTTCCTCTTCCTCTCCTTCGATTCTTGTGGCAAATAACATAAACTGAAGAAAATGACCAGCCCAAGCAAGCATACTCACTGACATGGCAATTTGCTTGAATGACATCTCTGGCCAAGGTACATTGGTCGTATTCCTCCACGGCTTCCCTGATCTTTTTTTTTCTGTCGTTTTGGGTTTATTCCATGGTTAGGGTTCTAATTGGAATCAGATAGTGAAGGTGGGGTGGGATGTTGAAGGGGTGAAAAGTAATTTTATTTTTTTTCTATTACATCAGCAGTGGGGTAAGAAATTTTCTTTATTAAAATTGAGGACAAAATGGTACTTTTGCAAAGGTGTTGGGTGTAAAAACTTGAAAGAAAATTATCAAATACTTCCTTTATCCCACTTTAATTATCGCTTCATATTTTTCGGTAATAATTAAAGTGAGAACGAAGGTAGTAATTTGATTCGTCAGTAATTTAGACAAATCTATGAGAGGTTGTAGTATTTTATCTTAAATTTTATTTCATTTCAAACCCATAATTTGGTTTCATTTCAAATTAAATCTAACTCGTTTTTCTTTTCCAAATCCAAATGCAATGTTGCTCGGTTTTTAAACATTGTATGCTGTTCGAATATCAATTTCTGTAACTCCATAATAGATTTTTGTGTTCGACAATGTGACATGAAATTTGTGCAATAATGCAATTGCTTCATAAACTCTCTTTCCAGAAAGTGTTCATCTAAAGTGGGAATGTCCTTGCTCAAACAATCTGCTAATTTTTGCCATTTTCCTTAAACTATCAATCTTTTAACATGGTAATTCCTAAATTTGGAGTCAAATTTTAACTGCTAAAGTCAATTGGTTAAGTGTCAGAGGGTCTTGTCCCACATCTTATTCGGATGGGACGATGGAGATATGGTCTTTGTAACATTACTCAACAGTTTCTCTTGGGTCAGAAAGAAAGCATAAACCTGTTATAAGTGATACAGTGATGTCTTGCCAAGCGTCCACCTGGGTAGAGTTTGGGTTGAGTCATTAGGGATTCCTCCTCTAATTGAGGTAGACAAGGTGGTCCGATCGCAATGAAAGTATTACGAGTTTGGCGGGAGAGAATGTTTGGGTAAAGAAGGCAAGCGCCTAGAACATTAAACTACTTCTGTATTTGCTCTAAAAACTTTTTGGTCATGGTAAATTACACCACCGTGGATAGTTTAGCATTTATTATATCGACTTGCCCTAAACTAGTTGTATCGAAAAGTGACTTTTGAGTACGAAAAGTCAATAATACCCTTATATTATAATAATATATTATATTCCAATATAAAAGGCTATTAATGTCTTTTCATATAAGGGAAGGGTAAAATAGTCATTTTATAAATTAACAGGTTTGCTGGAAAGAAAACGTATATTAAAGGTGTTGTTGAGCACAATTGGCAAGCATTAAATCTTAGTGGAGATCAAATTAATAAACGTTAAATGTTTAGCGTATGTAATTTACCAAAACCTCGGGGAGGTCATTGCAATTTACTCTTTTGGTTATTGGCAATATCTTTTTGGGTTTGTTCTAGTCAATCCTTGACCAGACATATAAAGGGAACAACTGAACACTCCCACGGCACTGCTTAGTTTATTTGGTTTGACTTGATCTAGGTTCAATTTTTTAATTTTTTATAGATATTAAGAACATTTTTGTAAAAGATTGGTGGAAGAATTTTTAGTACTACCCTATTGGTTTGAACATTACGATTATTAGAGGAAAAAGATATGCTCAGTTTAGCAAGAAGTGATTTTGAAATGGATATATTTTCGTGTATCTCAAAGTACTTATAATTAATGTCCACAAAAATTGCAGTCTGCTTCCTTGATTTAAAGTTCTGACTTTTGCTATTACTTCAGGAAGGTTTCTAATATTGTCATAATTGTTATTTTTCTTCTTTCTGGTAATAAGAATGCGAATTGAGCCTTTGGAACCAGTGTGTTTGAAACTCAAAAACCTTAGTTATTTTGTTATAGCAATTCGTATTTTACACAAGTTAATTTCAACAAAGAAGCCAAGCCCATTTGAATGGGGTAAAGGCAACGAATTTCAACAAAGATCAATTGTAACAACCCCAATGCATTACTCTCTGCATTTTCGTTTTTCAACTACAGTAGTGTTTCTTCATCATCATTAAACTGTCTTGGTAATTCAACTCTTTTTGTTCTGCAATTGGTGGTAAATTGAGGCACAGTCAATACAGTATTCCACAAAACTTGCTGGAGGTATCTGTGTACATTATCTTTCTATTTGCATATGCTTTAAGCATAAAATTTTATAATAAATATTTTGTATTTTGGTTTACTTTAACAAATTATGGATGTGGTCATAATGTAGCTGGTTTGAGGTAAGATTGCGTGATATTTCTTATAACATCATTATGCCCCTCATTTTCTTGGGTGTAAGAACAATGATGCGTGCATAAATTGCTTGCTTCCTCGTCCGAAATCACATATTAAGTTCTACTTTCGAATCTGTTTTTTGTGACATCAATATAATATCTTTACCTCTTTGTTGTAGGCCCTTACACAATTCAATTTGGCAAAACTAACCCCCCTTGAGGCTGGTTGCTGTTGATCACCGTCTGAGTAGGTGCTTTTTCCTACTGCTTTAAATTTATTTTGTTTCTTCCTCTTCTCTTCTCCCTCGTCTTTTTATGTTTGAATCTCTTATAATTATATAAATAAGTATCATTCATTGAAGTTCAATGGGTTCATCTTTATATATAAAAATCAGTGTACGTAATTCCCAAATCAGAGGCATTAGAATAATTTATGTATGTTATAGAAAAAAAACTTCGAAGTTACGAAAATTGCATATAACTCTCTTTTCTTTTTTGCTGGATTTCAATTCACTTCTTCGGTGTGGTTATCCTGCTGTCAATGCCTCGTGCTTTCACTTGAGCTTTCATCCAATGAGTTCCAACAAGGACTGCAAATTCTACCAATTCAAGCACATAAGGTGCTATGATTGTGATTCTTGCAAGTAAACGTCATTTTCCAGTTTTCAACTCCATTACATCTCTTTAACTCAAAATCTCATTGCCATTTTCTTCTTTGATATCATAATTTCGGGGCTGGAGTTGCAGAATACATGAAAACTGAATGGAGGGTTGTTCCAATCTTTAATGTGCTTCTGTTTGTTGTCTTGGTAAGTCTCTCTCTTCTACAGAATTTTAATTTCTGATATTCTTGGGACTTTACTTTTATGTGTAGGCCTGACTTTCATCTGATGCACGGCATCAGTCAGTAATCTACTTCGTAGGATGTTGTGCCATACTAATTGCTGCAAGAAATCGATCTAAAGTCCGTAAAGGATCATTCTATCTCCATAACTCTCCCAGGAACTAAATCAAATCTTGTACTTTAGGGGTGACAATTCTGTTAGTTGATAATCATGTTTAGTTTCTCAAAATAGTGTTATTAGGCAAAAGCTTGTCATTGAAGGCTCTCTATCTGAAGAATTGACATTTGTGTAAAGGTTGTTCTCTCTGCAATTGTGGAAAAGAATCATGTAATTTGTGTAACACATAGAAGAGACAAATGTAGAAATTAATTATAAGTCATAATTTAAAAGAACGTTGCATTTGCAATGCCAAACCCTTCGAATAGCAACAAGAAGTATAACAAGACAATAGCATTTACCAAAAGGTTACCTGAACTCAGATACTTGCAGGCTATTTTTATTTCAGAATGTGGATGCATGCATCTGATCATAGTAGAGTCCAGAAGGACTATTATCAGGCAACAAAGCCAGCATTACAGGAGCTCTAGCACCTTCCTCGGGAGTCAAGTTTCCCGTGTAACCTGTGATATCTGTTTTGACATGTCCAGGATGAACACAATTTACGCGGAAATCAGGGAATTTCTTTGCAACAAGTCTTGTATAGGCATTTATGGCCACTTTGTAAACTTTATAAGCAGGCAGTATAAGAGGCCATCCATTTGCCTGCAACTTATTCTCCTTGAAATCCCTCAGAAACCACTGCAAAATCTTGTCTATTTTATCTTCTGTTAAGCTGTCGACATTTTGCAAATCTTCTTTGACCTTCTCGTTGTAGATACACTGAAAATGAG